AAACCCAAACCCAAACCCAAACCCAAACCCAAACCCAAACCCAAACCCAAACCCAAACCCAAACCCAAACCCAAACCCAAACCCAAACCCAAACCCAAACCCAAACCCAAACCCAAACCCAAACCCAAACCCAAACCCAAACCCAAACCCAAACCCAAACCCAAACCCAAACCCAAACCCAAACCCAAACCCAAACCCAAACCCAAACCCAAACCCAAACCCAAACCCAAACCCAAACCCAAACCCAAACCCAAACCCAAACCCAAACCCAAACCCAAACCCAAACCCAAACCCAAACCCAAACCCAAACCCAAACCCAAACCCAAACCCAAACCCAAACCCAAACCCAAACCCAAACCCAAACCCAAACCCAAACCCAAACCCAAACCCAAACCCAAACCCAAACCCAAACCCAAACCCAAACCCAAACCCAAACCCAAACCCAAACCCAAACCCAAACCCAAACCCAAACCCAAACCCAAACCCAAACCCAAACCCAAACCCAAACCCAAACCCAAACCCAAACCCAAACCCAAACCCAAACCCAAACCCAAACCCAAACCCAAACCCAAACCCAAACCCAAACCCAAACCCAAACCCAAACCCAAACCCAAACCCAAACCCAAACCCAAACCCAAACCCAAACCCAAACCCAAACCCAAACCCAAACCCAAACCCAAACCCAAACCCAAACCCAAACCCAAACCCAAACCCAAACCCAAACCCAAACCCAAACCCAAACCCAAACCCAAACCCAAACCCAAACCCAAACCCAAACCCAAACCCATCGTTTGTTGCTTCGTACTTAAACAAATAAAGGAAGATCTAAAAATTCGTTCTTAATAGAAAAATCTTTTCCCAAAAGAAATTATTTCCATGTCTTACAATTATTCGTAAACATTTCTTTGTCTCGGATAAACAAATAATGAAGCAATCCAATAACTGGACAATACTTTTGATTCTTTTTGCCATAAATACATAGCTCACGAGTTTCATTTCCTCTCAAATCTTTCTCTTTAGTTACAGTCATTTTGAGATTTACGCTGAATTCTTTCTTGTCATAATTTTTCACATTAAAGTTAACATCCCCTAAATTCATGTGAACAAGAGAATCTCCTCTCAATCCAGAATATCTACCAATGAGAATGATCGTTTTCAACATGATATCCGAAAATTTGTTCATATCTAGCGCATCTATCCAAGCAAACATATGTCCGTTCAATAAAGCATTCACTTTGAATGTTTGTTTTCCATATTTTCTAACTAAAGCACGAAGCACTCCACTCACCAATTCTGAATGAGCTGCCCTTGGCGATGCACCTAAAATTGCATTCAATTCAAAAAGACGACACAAGGCATTGCAGAAACAATCTTTCACTGTCTTATAGGCATAACCACTCTGTCTTGCCCAAATTAAAAACATTAAAAAGGTCACCTTTTTCATTGGAAATGGTTGAGGTTGGTATTTGGAAAATAATGGCTTGCCAACAACAATCTTTTTATAGAAAAACATATAGGTTCTTAGTGCATACAATTGATATTCCTCCGTTCCTTTTGCAAAACTCAATGACAAAGTGTCTTTCAGTCCTACAAAAAGTTCATCTAAGTCCTTACTAAATTCAAGTTCCGGAACAGAGGGACATAAATCCTTTGGCTTTTGTTTTTCCATTGGTTTTAAATGTTTCGCATTGTTGAGCACGGATCGAATTATGTCGTGATTTCTTGAAAGTAATTCAGACTCGTATTTGTCACAGCTAGTTTTCGGTAAACGTGCTTTCTTTTTCATAGCAGCAAGATCCATCTGAACAATTGTTTCAGTCTTTTTTGTTTTGTCTACAGCATCTCTTTTAAGATCATCATATTTAAGCAAAGCTTTAATATGCTTCATTGCTTCTCTTTCGAAATCTCTATCACTTTCTTCAGTTTCAGTTTTAAAGAGTTCAAGTGTCTCTTTAATAATTTGTAAATCTTTGAGTTGTCGATTTTTGTTTTTTGTGCCATTAAGGATCCCTAATAGAGAAGTAAGTAAATGTGGAACTTCATTGGATGGTACAGAATATTGATGTTCGTTTGAATGAATCATAAATTCAGCAGGAGCCAACACATCTTTCAATGTGAATTTTTGGTCATTATCACATTCGGAATCGGAATCTTGAAGTGAAGGATTCAAAAAGCATCGAAGTTTGCGATCATCATCATCTTCATCATTATCTGAATCGGTTGCATCTTCGTAAAGAAAGCCATTATCAGAGTCATCATCACTGTTCGCAATTTCCACATTTTCAGTGTCACTGTTCACATCATCCACGTCATCCGTCTCATCGAGAAGAGCCGGCATGTCTTTGTGAACAGCTTTGCCAGAAGTATTTTCATAAATAGATTCGTCATGAGAATCCGAAGAGAGTTCTTTCACAGGGCATTGTTTTGACATTTTTTACTCTTTGATTTTGACAGTTGGCGGGAACTTGCGAACAAACTTTCCGAGGGAAAGATGACTCATCACGGAAAGAGCTTCATTATTTCAGACATGACTCATTATTGATGAAATAAACAACATAAACATGTTGTACTGATCATATAGAAGGGGCATTGCAAGATCCATGACATGAAAATGTCTATTTCTCAACCACTCTTGATATGCTTCAATATCTGAATTAATAATATGCTTTAACATCTCAACCTATCACAAATACAACTATTTTCTCTTTGGTAGTGTACAACATACATGGACCCATCACATATGTCGTTTCCACATGTTGTCATCATATATTTATCGTATATGAGTGAAATTTAACATTTTCGCTGGGGCCTTGTATCATTTTTGAACTTTTACAAGGATGTCCTCTAGCTCCTCTAATCTATAACTGCATCTCCCAAATGATCATTGATAAAATTATTGAAAGAGAAAAACTCCCAATCACTCCACAAGATCTAGACATTGATGATATTGCCACACTTTGTTTTGCCGATGATATGTCAATTATCAATTCTAACATTACTCTCCACAACAAAAGACTCAAGAAAATTAACAGATGGTTCAAACAAATATTCCTAGAAATTAATCCATCCAAATCAGTTACAACTTCACTCCCTAAACCAAATGAGGCCTTGATTAACAATACCAAAATTCCAAACCAAGACAACCAAAGAATCCTCGGAGGATATCTTTTTGAATCTAAATTATTTAAGGAAGAACTAGAAAAAAGGAAACATAAGATGATGAATATCCTTAACATCCTCCCAATTAATCTGATTCAACCATATAATCTCAAACAAGTAGTCACATCTAAAACCTTATCCCAAATTACACACCTTGCACGCAGTAATTCAATAAGCCAATCCCAAATAGAATCATTCGACTCTTCAATCAGAAACCAAATCAAAAGAAAACTAAATATTGATGCAAGAACACCTAAAGAATGCCTATACTTACCAAACTACCAAGGAGGAATGGGTATTCCATGCCTTGAAATGATGACTGATATCATAACCCTAAAATCATTAATTAATATCTCATGTCACAATTACCAACTCATGCAAGAAGCGGTAAATGATGCTATCACATCAACATTCAACACCAAAAAATCCAAAAACCTAAATATATTTGAAAACTTCCACCACATAGCAAGGAAGTATGAGCTTAAAGTTGATAACTGCAACTACATACCTCAACTTGTAAATGAAGAATCACTAAAATACCATAAGAAATGTAAAAACTTTGAAGTATGGACTGATGGATCTAAAACTGAACAAGGAGCTGGATTTGGTATTATTTTACAATCCAAAAATATAACAACTAGACACAAATTCAAACTTGACCCAATCCATAGCAATAACTTAGCTGAACTACTAAGTATTGTCTACACTCTCCGATTATTACCAACAAAATCAAAAGCAAAAATCTACACAGACAGCGAAATAAGTATCAATTTGCTATCAAATCCTAAATACCGAGGACCATTTCTCCCCCTTAAAACTGAATTTGAATTCCTCAAGAAATCTAAAAACCTACAAATCACCATCATCAAAGTTAAAGGCCACCAAAATAGTGGTAACATTCACGTAGACAAATTAGCCAAAAAGGGATGCACATCAGGAAAATTGATAATTCCTCACAGACAACTTACCCAAAACCAAATTATCCTCAAATCCAATAACCACTGGATTCCAGATATTGCAACATTCATCAAGAACAAACAACTTCAGAAATGGAATGAATCAATAACTTTGAAGAGCAGGAATAAGTTTAACCCTTCTTGCATCTTCCCAACAACATTCAATTTCATGAAGTCAAAGAATATCTCTCCCCAACAAAAATATGCAATCTGGAGAAACATGCACAATGTTCACATGAAAACATTTAAACAACAAACTCACACCTGCCCCAGATGTAATTGCACCGGAACTATTGAACATTATTCCACACGTTGCATATTACTATCGGAGGAAAGAATGTATGCTAAACAACAGATGAAGAGGCTTCTAAACATTGAATTGATTCCCCATGACCGAAATGAAATTCTAACCTCCTCCAAATTCCTTATCGACAGCAGAGGAATCATTCTTAACTCCGACACATATTTTACAAGAAGAAAACAGGACATCATCAAGTACTGGGTAGACATTCAAGCAATTCTATCGCTCTTGATGGGTAGAGCTTTTAATCAATACTGGGAAAACGAAAGACCTGAGGAACCGAAGGGCCAATAAATATTTTTTCAATTTTTGAACTTTTCAACCCGAAAATTTTTCGTTCAAGCTAAAACTGACTCACCAAGAGGAGAGCTTCACCGTTTCATACTTAGTTGACAATTGATGAAATAAACAACATCTATACATCTTAGTGGTCATGTAGAAGGTGTATTACAAGATTCATCTCATGACCATAACCATGTCTCTCACAATGGCAACTAATTTGACTATTTGCCTCTGTCGTGACCATGGTCATCTACAAGTGTCACAACTGTCACTATACACTCTATGTGATGTTCACTACTTGTATTATTATTTTCAAGTTCAACTTCAAATCATGTTACTGACAGTGTCCCTCCTCCTGGGGTGACAAATTTTTTCCCTGATATATGGTTGACCAAATTTAGGGATGCTCCACGATCCGAGGAGTCTTTCCCAACCTCTCAAATTTCATATATATATATCATTCATGAGTACTACTATCATTGAGGAATTATGGGGCATGGTTTCATGTCTGCATCAATTTTTTTAATATATCAACCTGAGGTCTATGAAATTTACCGTCGCACAAGTTCCAGCGAAAACGTGAAATTTTTTTCTTTCTTGTGAACGACATGTCAGAACAAATAAACGAGCAAGATCCTATCGTTATAGGTCCTAAGACAACTAAATATGTTGTTTATTTGAAAATTACAAATTTTTGGGATCACTGAATGGGCGATATTCCCAAACCCAAACCCAGAAAAATAAAATAATTGAGGAAGACTTGTCCTCTGAACCAAGATTGGCGACCACATGAGAGAGAAGCAATCACATCATGTAGACAGACCACATCAGTAAGCTTAAAACAATAGGACATACGATGGGAAGAAATTTTAATTATTATTTCTGTTTTCAGAGGAAGGATCAAAAAAGGGAAAATGTTTGCACTATTTACTGTTGATTGTAGGACTCCATTACTACTTCATCCTCTTCTTCTTTTACGAGCAAATGGTCGTGACTGGTCTTTGAATCAACTTGTTCGTGAACTAAAACTTTCTTTGATGTGGAAACTAGTTTTTCTGCTTCAACGTCTCTTAATTCCTCAATTTCTCCAGTGCTTAAAACAGCTCTCTCATGTGCCTTGTCACTCAACAAGTACGACTGCATGACGCCTTTTCCCTTCACTTCGATATTTCGTTCTTCAAATTGCAAATCCAGATCATGAACTCGTTCATAAGTGGAACGAGAAATTTGAATTCTTCCAGACAATGAAGTGGATTCCATTCTAGAAGCAACATTAATAGTGTCTCCCCACAAATCATAGGCAAACTTTTTAGTCCCAATCACCCCTGCAACCACAGCACCGGTATTGATTCCAACTCTAATATCCACCTGATGAATCTGATCAATATTAAGAAAAACTATTGATGAGGAGGAGGGGAGTAAATTGTTTGTACTGTTGGATTGTGTCATGAATGTGTTCAAGTTATTTGGCGGAGGCGTTGTTGAATCATTTCCTGTTGAGAACTTTTCTATAATCATTTTTTGATTGTATTTTCTCACCACTCTGAATGTTTCCATGGCGAATCTCAAAACTCTTTCTGGATGATCACTTGCTTGATGCAATCCTCCAACACAGAAATATGCATCTCCAATGGTTTTGATTTTTTCTAATTCATACTTGTCAGTCAACGAATCAAATCCATTCACAATTTCACCCAACATTTTCACTACTTGATGTGCGTTCATGGTGCTTGAAAGTTTTGTGAATCCAACCATATCAGAAAAGAAACAAGTAATGTCAGGAAGTTTTTCTGCAATAAATGTCTCTCCCTATTTCGAGAATAATTCAACATTTGATATCAATCATGGATGAATTTGCAATCTCTTTCGATGAAACACTTACATTTTTCAATTTTTTCGCCACTGATTCAGGTAAAATATTTCTCAATAGATTTTCTGAAGTTTTCTTTTCTTCAGCTAGAAGAGAATTTTGCTTCTTCTCTGTTGTAATATCTTTGACGAAACACAAAAAGACTGCCTTTCCATCAAAAGTGGTCCATGAAATGTTCAATTTCGCTGGGAATCGAGTTCCATTCTTTCTCACACATTCAATCTCCAACGTCTCACCATTTACAATATTTTCTGTATCTGTTTTCATGTGTTGAAACGATGTTTGAATTCGTTCCTTATTCTCTTGTCCAAATAAATTCCAGAGAGGAAGACCCACCACTTCATTCATATTCTTTCCAAACATTCTTTGTGCTGATGGATTGTAAATATCCACTTCAAATTCTTGATTACACAATACGGCTCCATCAACTGTCGCATGGAGGACATTTCTAACCTTGTCTTCATCACTTGTTCCTTGTTTTTTCTTTTTTTGATTCCAGTAGTTCAATTGATGGAAGAGAATATAATTTCGGAGTGGTTCTTTTGCATCAATATTTTCAACTTTGACATAATTTAACATCATTCTCAAACAATGCATTTCTGAAAATTGTTTTTCAAAACTTGAGATAGATAAATAGGCGATGAGGGGAAGAAGTAAAAGTCCAGTTACCCCAATTAAAATTGTCCAAGTTTGACTGTCATCTCTTTGAACACTAGCAACATAAATTTGAATAAAGTTAACCATTCCGTCAGCTAATTTGTGGCATACTTGATAAATATAGGTGAAATATTGGTCAAACACTGCATATGGATCTTTTCCTGCTGAGACATAAATTTCATTAATCTCAATGGCCTTCAAAAGAAAGTTGTGAATCAAATCATTCAAACTTTCACACTGGGTTGAGTTTGAAGAAGAATTGTTCTGTTGACAATTAATGCCTTTCAAGATGGCATCAATTTCAGGATATTCTCCAACGAGAGGAGGAATGTCATCATGACCAAATACTAACTTATCCCAATATCTTTCTAAATCTTTTGTAATTTGATCAATTCCTTCATGGTATTCGAACACACCATGTTGATCGAAGAGTAATGCTGAATTCAAGTAATATTTATCATAGGGTAAAATTCCAAACGCAAAAATCTCACCAATGTGCATCGTCGTAATCTGGGCAGAGGCTGCAACCTTCACTGAGTATTCAATATTTGCAATAATACTTCGTGATTGGTCCGTAGATGACAAGGCAAAATATAATAAAAGGGCAGAGAAGAGAAAGAATATCGCCCCAAATAATACAACATAGGTAAGGGTTCTAAGAATTGGGTTGTGCCACATTGTACTAGTGGCTTTTGTTTCTACCTCATTGACTTTGATTTCATGGAAAATTTTGCCTATCGCTTCTTTTGGAATATATTTTTCAAACAGTTTCACCACTTTTCGTATTTTCATGGCAAATATCATTTGAATACCAGCAGTAAGTAAACAGAACATCAAGGAAACTATAAAAGAGGCGATACAATAGTAAAGTACATCATTTCTAAAAAGCGTGATACTACTGAACACCTCGCTTGAAATGTTTTCACAAAAAGTTTCATAATTTTGAGCGAGTGTGTCTCTATTGTGCCAAATATACATGGTAATAAAATCATTAAGAATCGTCTTGTTAAAATCATTCCCCTTCCAGCTTTTCATTGTCTCAGAATATTGCAAAAAAGAGTTAGTGAGAGTGGAAATGCTCACATTTCTTGGTTTTGGGTTGAGATATTGACCATATAAATTGCCATGTGGAATTTCTGGAAAATAAACAAGATGTGAATCTTCAGAATACTGTTGGTAAATCTTATCTGATAAACGACCTGAAAGAGCCAAATTCTGAATCTTGTAAAAATCTTTTAGCGCTATCGATAGTCTTTCAGAGAACGTCTTGTCAAAATCACTCATATTGAGGAGTCCAGCCGATGTCAATGATGTTGAAAACGACTTGTTGCCAAATAACGCAGACACTATTTGGTGCACTCTCAAATCTGAAATGACAGTGAGAGACCGTGCAGAAGGAGTACATGCATGTTCAATCGTATTCAGATCTTTTGTTGAGGCACTAACTGCTTTGCATGCCAAAATTACGTTCGTTAGGAAAAGAGCACCAACAATGACGTTCATTGAGATGATAGCGGCATACCAAAGAAAATGGTTCTCGGATGTAGCAATGGAGTTCTTGTAAATTATTTCCTTTTTCACTTCGGGTGAGTCCGCTGCTTCAGAAATGTCAAGTTGGGATTCATCCTCAACTAATTCTTTGGTGCTTCCTTGTAGTCCGTTAAGACTTGATGTCAAATGCAAGTTCGTTTTGGATAAGGAATTTCTGACATTCATTGAGCCTCTATATTGAGATGTCTGTTTGAAGGAAGCTGTAGATGGTAACACACGATTTTTCGATCCAAAAATAAAGCTCACACTTGCAGCAGTGTTTGTCATATGACTGGTGTGTTTTTCATGTCCCTTCCTAGAGTCTTCTTCTTCAATACTTTGAGCATCTTGATAGAGCTCGAAAGCTTTCTCAGTGTTGAAGAGAACTTCTTCATTAAATTTGGCATACAATCTCAGAAGACTCTTATCTTCAGAGAAGAGTTTCGTTGAATTTTCAAATGTTTCTTCACATTCCATGATGAGAGTGGAGGCAGCTCTATTAATTTCTAACACTCGCTTTTCATTCACATTATCATTCATTAGCTCTTTCCAAACTAATTTTCTACATTGAACAATGGTGAGAGTGTCTCTTTCAAGACGATTCAACATTTCAGACATGTCAAAAGCTGAAAAATCTTTTGAATCACCTTTCTCTTTTCGAATAGAATCTTGAACTTGTTTTAGTTTTTCATTCAACATGAAACTCAAGAATATGGACAGTTTTTCATTCCTCATTCTTTTCAAAAGTGTTTGAGAATATTCGAGAGAGGAAATGCAATAAGATTTTCGTGGTTGTTGGAAAGTCACCTGACGATCCATATCCCAAAAGTATGCACATAATAAACTAGATGAAACGAGAAGATTTTTGTGTTGAAATCTTTTGTGTTGAGAGACTGATTTGATCATACAAATAGCTATATCCTTATCTGAAAATCCGAATGTATCTTCACTTCCTGCATTTCCTGAAAGCATGCAAAATTTAAGGAATAGTTCCAAATTTCTAATTTGTTTTCTCTCTTCCATTTCTTTAAATAAAGCAATGGCTTCCTTTTCAAACAAATTTTTGATTGCTTGAAATCGTTCTTCAGGTGTAAAATCATCAATAATTAAAACTGCACATTCAACTACACCTTGCATGATTGTTAATCTGTATCATGTTATTGATTTAGATCATGTAATGAATTATGAAAACAAAATGTGGTTAAAGAAGAAGGAATTTGTGTTTTCACTCACCTTGTCACCTTGTAAACGACTCTTGTGTAAATTTCAACAATAAAAAATCCAATCAAGAATCCAATAAGAAACATTCCAAAGGATGATGTTACAAACGCTAAACCCATTTCCCATTCATTCTTTGAATTGACAAGAAATGAAATTAAAGGAAAAACACAAATGAAAGCCTTTCCCAAACATAAACCGCCAATCAGTGAATTCTCAACCCTTCTGTAATAAGGAAGTAAATACAAGAGCATGATAAAGAGTGTAAATGAGAGGAGAATATGAATAATACTCTTCACAAACATGAGAGAAGTTGGAATGATTGCATTCAATGTGATTTGAATTTCTGAAACGACCAAAACACTTCCAATAAATAATGAATTGTCAACAATAAAAGGAGTCCCACTTCGAATATGAGTATTTCCCAACACAACACTGCACAATACAGTGCTCAGAATTAAACAAATAATTCCCAAAAAATTCAAAACAATCAATGCAATATTACTCGAAGAGAAGCACATATAAGAGGGAAATCGATTCAAAACTTTTTGAGGGTCACTGAAACCATCAAAAGTGACTGAACTTGAATAATTGCAATCAATGAAGGAAGTCATCAAATAAGTCATGACTAAATGTCCAAAATAAATGACAATCCCCAACACCTTCATCAATGACTGAATAGTCTTGATGGAAGGTTTTGCCTTATGATAAACTCTCAAAGTGTAGAGAAATAAACATATTACAGAAAGGGACAACAAGATGCATATCGAAGATAATGCAATGGCTGCTTCATATGGGATGGCATTCATTGAAAAGTTGACCAAATAATTGAATACTCTCCATACATATGCACCGTACAGCCCATAATTGTATTCTCCTTCAAGTCCAATCACAAGAGAACCAATCCAAGCATAAATATACAAGCTCAATACCAGTAGGTTACTTTTCCATCCCTGTTTGCTTTTAGAATCGACTAATACGAGCAGTGTAGAGACAACCTTCTCTTGTATTTGGGAAATTATTTTCTGTCCAAACGTATTTACGAAGCTATGAGATGATGAATTGGAGGATTGAGAAAAGACAGAGGGAGGTTTTGGACAAATATTTTGATGAGATATGATAGGAATTGTTGGAATTGTACCATCATCAACCAATACAATATTATCTGTTGCTTCTGAATGTTGTTGTCTCTCTATAGTTCCATCCAAGTGGTTGGAAGGATTTCTGTTGGATGACATGATAAGTTTGTTTTTTTCTTCAAAGAGAATAATTGAAACTGCAATTAATCTCTGGGATATTCAAGATTTGGTGTGTCCAATGGTGGGATTGACATCTCTCTCATCAAACAACATCCAATAATTTCCATTGTCCATACCGTTCATGGTGAGTCTGACATCAATAGATGGACATTGTAAAAATCGTAACCTGATGATAGGACACGACGGCTCTGAGAGATACCTATTTCGGAACAAGTTAATAGATTTGAAATGAACATTCTGAGATATCTCCCAATATTACAACGCGGAGACAAGCTATGTTCGATCCATTTCTGTACTGACCAGTGGATTTGATGTCGTGTGATGGTCTTCTGTCGATTCTTCTCGTTTTTTTTAATTACAATTTGTGGAGATGTGCTTTCTTGTTGTCTGATACTAGTCATTAGTGAAAACTGAAAAGAATATCACGTGCTTTCTTCTGTCAAAAAGTATTATCAAACAAACATGATCCACGCCATCACACAACATCAAACAATAACCTCAAACAATGTAGCATGAAGTTGTGGTTTGCGATAAAGCGTTGGTGCAAGAGAAAATAACAATAAAAGCCGTTCACATGGTGAAAGTGTTGATGAATTATTTCAATTTAAGACTTTTTTCACAGGAGAAGGATTTGAAGTTGATCCACATTTAATGAACTGGATGATAATGAAACTGATGATACAATTTGTCACTGATAATGAAGTTGTGATGTGTGACTCATCAATAGCAATCGCCATGACTATATCTTGCATTTTAGACATTTAAACAAAGATCTGCTCATTGTGAATCTTTGAGTGAGCTTTCATTGAGATCTGATCTAATTCATCTTTGATCATACGTGTCACAATTTGTTGGACATGTTGTATTGTCCTAGATTTCTGAATTTTCAATTTTTAAATGATGTAAACAATCCTTTGACATCACACTTGACGATTTCAAGTTCAAATGAAGAGTCATGTCTTTTTCATATTCGGAATGATCACCAAAGTTTCTCTCCGAACGACTTCCATCAAATGAAATAATCTTATCAGTCAATAAAACCATCAATGTTGTTATGGTTCACCTCCTATCATTTGGAGAGCAATGGTTTTCAACGACAATATAGTGGTCAAATTCACCAATAATCACTCTAAAGTTGTTATAGACTGAAATGATCGCTTCATGATCACACTAATAATATCATCATCGTAGTGAATTTGTCGGATGAGCCCGCACCAATCCACTCATTGAAAAGAGAACAATAATAATCATCTCCACAAGAAGTGTCATCAATGATGGCGCTCACATTTCGAAGAAGAGCAACTGCCAAACACACTAAAAATATTCATGATGAATTTCTCCTAACGAACAACAACAACTAGAGATACAATCCTCTTGATCCTCCTTTTCATCTTCCGTTTACAGTTTGTATTGGAAAAGGAAACACATGCAATAAATAAATAACAATTAAATAATTATTAAATAATTCAAAAATTTTATGAGATTGATTCTCACACAACCGTTATCTGAAAGTTGTGTTGAAATAGCATCATCACCAAATCGGTTTTCAGTTTTTATTTTTTAATTTTATATTTATCCAAGTTGGAAAGATGGCTCAAACAGGTCGACAGAAGATGAACTTGAGTGCACAGACGACATCACCCATTTTCGCTTCAAGAACACAAAAAAATGGCCGACGTCGATTCTCATATCGAGTTAATAGACTCGACCACAGCCCCAAACAACAACAACACAACAACAACTACAACAACAAATACGTTTGCCGAGGCTGTCAGAAAATCATTGGACTACATACAACATGCTGCGACGGCTAGACCAAGTACCGATAAAAAGCCATCAACAGAAGTTGGTGCCATCTTTGAAGAAGTTCGTCAAAGTATTGACTTGGTCAGAAGTTTGCAAGAACAAGAGAATAAATCCGGTAAAAAGGATAAGAAGAACAAGGTTTTGGAGAAGGCCAAGAAGAAGGCCATTGATATTACAGAGCACGAGATGCCAGTAGAGAAATTATTGGACCTCTATGGATCCAATTTCAATGCCGACCCCGAAGCAGCCAAAGGTTTGAGTGAGAAGGTCGCTCAAGAACGGTTATTGTTTAACGGACCAAACAAATTGAAACCACCAAAGAAGAAGCCATTCATCTTTAAGATTATTGAACAATTCACAAGTTTATTCTCCTTGTTGATGATTTTTGCCGGATTTTTATGTATTTTGGATCCTATTATCGAGAGAACTGTTGATTCAGTTTCTAATGTTTTTTTGGGAGTCATTTTGTGGGGTGTCGTCATTCTGAATGCATCAATTACATTAATTCAAGAAAGAGGAAGTGAAAAGGTTTTGGAAGGTTTTATTGCCATGCAAAAGAGTACAGTTTTAGTTGTTAGAGATGGTATTTTGAGAAAAGTCGATGCTGAAACATTGGTTTTGGGTGATATTGTTAAAATTGAAGCTGGTGATATCGTTCCAGCTGATTTAAGAATTTTACATGCAAGTGGCTTGAAGGTAGATAACAGTTCTTTGACTGGTGAATCTGATCCTCAAGTAAGAACATCAGAATCTAGTTCCTCAAACCCATTGGAAACAGCCAACTTGGCTTTCTTTGGTACTACTGTTCTTGAAGGAAGCGGATATGGTATTGTTATTAGATGCGGTAACGTCACAGTTATTGGTCAAATTGCTTTGCTTGCTGGTACAACTGTCACCTTAAAGACTCCATTGAGAAGAGAAATTGATAACTTTGTTAGAAGTATTGGTATCATTGCCTTGACCAGTTCTGTGATTTTGTTTGTCGTTGGTCTCGCTCTTGGTCTTGGTTGGTATCAAAGCTTCCTTTTCGCTATCGGAGTCATTACTGCTAACATTCCGGAAGGTTTAATTGCTGTCGTCACTGTTTGTTTGACTGTTTCTGCTAAGAGATTGATGGCTGTTAATGTTCTTGTTAAGAAATTGGAACACGTCGAAACTTTGGGTAGTACATCTGTAATCTGTTCAGACAAGACAGGTACTTTAACTCAAAACAGAATGACTGTAGTCGAAACTTGGATCGATGGTAATGTCTCTGCTGTTGGTTATGAAAGAATGATGAAAGAAAAGCCTGCTGGTGACCTTCCAGATTTTAGTAAGATTCCTGAAGAAAGTTTGACAGATTATCAAACAATGGTCAGAGCGTGTGCATTGTGTAGTGCAACCACCTTTGTTCAATCAGAAAATAACCTTGCTAAACCAATTCTTGACAGAGAATGTATCGGTGACGCTTCTGAAACAGCCCTTATCAAGTTTGTTGAAACTAGAAATGATACTTCTACTCTTCAAGGTATTAGAGGTGCTCACAGCAGTCTCTATACTATTCCATTTAATTCCAAGAATAAGTGGATGTTGGAGGTTCGTGAAAAACCAGGTTTGGAAAAGGCTATTCTCTTCATGAAAGGTGCCCCAGAAAGAATTATCAGTAGATGTACCACTATTTTAGTTGGTGGTAAGGTTCTCCCATTGGATGAAATGTGGAAGAATAACTTCCAACAAGCTTATGACTTCTTTGCCATGAAAGGTGAACGTGTTTTAGGTTTTGCTCAAATGTATGTTGATAAGGAATGTGTAAAGAAACAATTGGAAGCTGAAGAATCTGGTACTAAATCATCTGATGGTTTGTTGATTCCAACTGAAGGTTTGACATTTATTGGTATGTGTGCTTTGACAGATCCTCCAAAAGTTGGTGTTCCAGAAGCTATTGCTAAGTGTAAACGTGCTGGTATTCAAGTTGTCATGGTTACTGGTGACCACCCTGCTACTGCTAAGGCTATTGCTAAGCAAGTTGGTATTCTTGAAGAAGACTGTACTACGAGAGAAGATCTCGCCATGGAAGAAGGTTGTTCTCCTGAGTCAATTCCATTCAGTAGACCTGAGGTTGATGCTGTTGTTTTGCACGGTGAAGAAATTGACAAGCTCTCTTCAAAGGAATGGAGATCAATTTTGAGAAAGAAACAAATCGTATTTTCCAGAACTTCTCCTCAACAAAAGTTGTTGATTGTCAGCAAATTCCAAGAAATGGGACACTGTGTTGCTGTTACTGGTGATGGTACTAACGACTCTCCTGCTTTGAGAAAGGCTGATATTGGTGTTGCTATGAATATTTCCGGTTCTGCTGTTTCTAAGGATGCTGCTGCTATTATTTTGATGGACGATAACTTTGCTTCAATCGTTAATGGTGTTGAAGAAGGTAGATTAATTTTCGATAACTTGAAAAAGTCCATTGCTTATACCTTGACTCACGCTATACCTGAAGTCAGTAGTTTTTTGGCCTATGCCATTTTTGGTATTCCACTCCCATTGACAGGTGTTCAAGTGTTGATGATTGACTTGGGTACTGAATTGATGAATGCTATTTCTCTTGCTTACGAACCTGCTGAAAGTGATATTATGAATATTCCTCCAAGAAACAAAACAGACAAGCTAGTTGGTTTCCAACTTTTCTCTTACTCTTATCTCCAAGTTGGTGTGATTGAAGCTATGGGTTGTTTTTGCAGCTATTTCCTTGCTTTGGCATATTATGGTATCCCACCATCATATTGCTGGAATGCTGCCAGATCAAATTACTTTACAAATACTGCTCCTGATTTGTATATTGCTGAATCAGGTCAAAAGATTACAGCCAAACAGCAAGTCGACATTTTGAGTGCTGCTCAAACAGCTTATTTCCTCTGTATTGTCATTTGCCAATGGGCTACGTTGATGTCAACCAGAACTAGAAGGACCTCTGTTTTCTTAAAGAATTTCTCCGCCAACTTGTGGATTTATGGTGGTATCATCTTTGCTGTTGCCCTGACTTGTTTCTTCTTATATGTTCCTTTCATTTCCGACTTTATTTTCCAAATTAGACCTGTCGGTATTGACTTTTGGTTATACCCAATACCTTGGGCATTTGCTATTTTGTTTTATGACGAAATCAGAAAGTTGATGTTGAGAACGTTGCGTATTAGTGCCATTTCTTGGTAAATAAAGATCATTTTAAATTATTAATGTTCTACTTGAATACAAACTTTTAATCTAACAGACATCGCTAACGTCATTGCTAAGGTCTCATCTGTATGGAGTTGGAATGAAAATACAAGCTATGGTTCCAGCGAATTCTTGAATTATTGCCATCTACGAAACTTCTCCAATATGAATTCAAAGGGTTACTCAAACATAACGAACATTCTCCTCAGGTGATTGGTTTGCTTCTGCAACCTCCTCTTCAGAAAGTCTCTTAAACTTGCCATTTCCAATAAAATAGCCTCTCAATTCCTTGATTGGAATATTTGTAATTCGTACCATCACACCTGCACCACCTGCCTTGAAGAGTTGATCGAACAAGTTCATGACCGCACGCTTGCTGGTACTGGTAATTTGACGATCCTGCATATCAAAGTTTCCTCTGGGTCACACTCCTTTTTATACAGCCATATTAGGTCACAATCTTTTGGCCTGGGATTGATGCTCGTGTGACCTAGAGTACTGATAAGAAGAGGACTACATTGGAATATGAGATTGGATTATTTGACTTTTTTTTTAAAAGAGAAAATGCACAACAGTTGACAACAAACCCCAAGGAAGGAGCAACAATCAAGCCTTTCACAGTACAACTATACGGAACTTTTATCCAACTATACGGAACTTTTATCAGATTTACAAGCCTCAATACATGTTCAGAGGAGGGAGAATTGCTCAGATGATTGTTTTGAACCTGAAATAACAACAAACTGAGAAAAGAACTACAAAACTTTTGATCAACAATTTTCATATCCAGAAATGTTCTTGCTAGACTCTTGACGTTGTGGAATGATCAATGGTTGAATTTCAATTGTTGTTGACATCTCCATTGTCACTTTGAACTCATTTTCTATTCCAACAATAAATCGGATTGATAAGGATCTGTATAATAATTTTCTTGGCTCACTTTCGTTGAAAGTGTTTGTTCAATTGCATAATTTGAACTAAACACTGAAACAATGGGCTGTTCTTCTTGTTGTGTATTTTCTGCAGTAATTGTTGAAGGCAATACATGAATATTTAAAGGTGAAGTGATTGCATCAATAAAGAATGTGCTCACATCATCCATATTGGAAGTTGTTGTTGTTGATGTTGTAACGGATGATGAGGATGATGGAACAACTGTAAAGCCCATGATTTCACTCATTCGATGAATCGCATGTTGATCTTCTGGAATGGTAAATTCTTCTCTGTTGAATTCAAAATCATCATTGAAAGATATCTTGTCATTGGTCGAAGAGGAAGACTCTTGACTGAGTTGAGCTGGTTGTTTAGAAATAAAATTATTTCCCTCGACATGATAATAGGATGTAACAGCTCCAAATGAACTCATCAAGGATGTTTGATTAGCAGCAGTGTTGTTGATACCAATCTCTTTTCTGATGTAATTATTGTTATTGCTTGTAGTGGCTTCTGTGAATTGTTTCAAAATTTGTTGGAATGTATTTTGAGGATTCTGTTGCTGACTGTAAAGTTGTTGATTCAGTAATGCTTGTAATTGCCATTCGGTTTGTAATTCTCGATTTCGTAACTCTTGCTGAATCATGGGTAATAAATTCTTGGTTCTTTTTTCAACAATTGAAAAGCGTTGTGCCATTTGAGTGAGAGCTTTCAAATCATTTCTCAAATAGTCGTAATATTTGGCAAGTGACACTTCTGCCTCATTAGGTCTCAAACCTTTGGAGATTTGTTGAACAAGTGATAAATGAACTCGTGCTGCATTCATAACAGTCGAATGAGTATGAGAGGGTAAATATGGAAAATAGGAGACAGTTGTAAGTTCTGAAATTCTATTTGCAGTCTCAATGATTGCATTTTCTGACTCAGAGGCTGTTTTTGAAAGAATACCTAGTCGAACACCTTCAACCATAAATAAATACATGAGTTTGGTCAAAGCAGCAGTGACAGGTGACTTCTCTTGTCTTACTCTATTGAATTGAGCTTGAGGTTTAATTATCATTTGAGCATGTGCCACAATTGCTTGTTCCTCTGTACTCGATGAAAATTGAGGTTGTGGAATGGCTAATCCGGAAATTCCACAATCGCCGTCTTTCATGTTTTGTGAAATGTATAAAAAGAAGTCCATCATTTTCTTCATGTGAAACACTTGTTGTGTAAATTTTTCTGTGCTTACCACAACATCGAGATGTGAAGATTTTGTGAAATCTAAATCTTGGTTTAAGATTTCAAGGGATTCTGCCTCCTCAAGTTGTAATTTTGTATAAAGCAAAGATCTGCATAAATATATAAACTGCAAATTATCTGCGAGACGATCTTTGTTTCGATCAATAAAGAATTGAACGCTTCCAAGATAGTATCGACATTGTCCAAGCTCTCCTTCATTCAAACAAAATAGTCCTAAATAAAGAAATGTTCCAGCAATTGCAAAGTTATCCAATAGATCAAAAACTTCTGATAAACATTTCCGTGCAGTGAAGAATGCTTTCCTTCCTTCGTGTTTTTTGCCCAATGTTTGGAAACAGTTGGCTTGAATGGCATAAAGAAGTGAAATATTTTCAGGACCCTGTTCATTCAATGGATTTTTTGCAATAATGTCAAGCATGGTTGATCTCTGAATAATTGGACATCCCAAACTAACAATATCAAAATACATGTCAACTATTTGAAAGTTGACACTTTGCTCTTCATTGTTTGCACTATTAGAATGATTTTCAATATGGTCGCTAAAATTTGTGGTGTGATCACGAGTCATATTATTGTTGATCGTATTGTGATCATTAGTACTGATGTTTGAGGTGATCTTTTTTGTTTTTGATGAAGTACTCTTGCTGCTGTTGGAAATATTATTTGAATTGTTCATAGAGTGCATCGTGAAGGAAACTTTGTAAGGTTGTGATCGTTGTGGTCCTCGTTTGAGCTGATCTGGATAGTGACATTCTTTACCCTTTTGAACGCAATCAGTACATGATGGAAGTTTTCGATCACATTTTCTATTTTATCGTTTTTTTTGAACATCATGTAAAAATTGTTGATATGAGAGAAATTTTCATGAATATTAACGAAAATAATTAAATACGCGTCATATTTAAATATGATTATTGAATATGATTATAAATTGATCAATAACAATTTTTAGCAAAAACCAACCTATGGCCACGACGACAAGCGACGCAAGCAATCGGATAATATAATTGTTCACCACTTGCATTTGAAGATTGTCCCGAATTGGCAGTGGTGCTACTGCTGTTGTTGGATGATGACATGGAAGCAGGAGAGGATGCAAGAGGATAAGGAGGTGAAGAAGACATTTTTTCTAACGAATATTTCAGTTGGTCAACCACAACTGACTTCATGGAAGATAACAGTGATTGTCTTGTTCGTTTTTTCGGAAGAGTGACCGAACGATACCAAATACTGATTTCTTTGGAGTTGTCCTCGATGGAGTTGCTTTTTCTGATTTCATTGAGAGCGTCGAGGATGAATGGTTGGACACTAGTTTTACCTTTGCATCTTCATTTCCTTTTTGAGCAGCACGTTCGTAATAGTCACGAGCTTTCTTTTCATTTCTTTGAACTCTTTCTCCATTTTCATACATCACTCCAAGATTATATAATGCCATGTCGTCACCCTTACTTGCTGCTTTAGAATACAATTCGAACGATTTTTCATAATTTTGATCGACTCCTTGTCCATAATGATACATGTATCCTAAATTGACAAATGCAGAGATGTTCTCTTGCTCGACTGCTTTTTCATACCACTCCAATGCTTGATTCAAATCCTTTTGTGTTTCAATTGCATGCTCATACATGTAACCAAGATAATTTTGAGCTTGAGCATTTCCTTTTTGAGCGGATTTCAAACACCAATGAAAAGCCACTTTTCGATTCTTTTCAACACCTAATCCATTGAGATACATATCACAAAGGCAAAGTTGTGCTTGGGAGTCACCTTTAAGTGCAGCTGCTCCATACCACTTCACAGCTTGAACATTGTCAATGTCCACTCCAATTCCCTTCTCAAACATTTCACCAAGATTAAACAAGGCATCCACTTGTCCTTGCGCACCTGCTTCTTTGTACCATCGTACGGCTTGGTCGTAATCTTGCCAGACGCCTAAACCTTTCTGATACATGTAACCAAGATGGAATTGAGCATTGGCGTTGCCTTTGGAAGCTGCTTTTTTATACCACTGACATGCCACTTCATAATTTTTCGTCAGACCGCCAAGCCCATGTTCGTTCATAAATCCAAGACGATTCTCAGCGTCTGAAACGCCTTCTTCAGCTAATTTTGTGTATATTTCGAGCGCTTTTTCATCGTCTTTTTTCACACCGTTTCCTTTTTCGTACATGAATCCAATTCGGTACTGAGCCATCTTGTCTCCTTGTTCGGCAGCTTTCTGATACCAGTGGAATGCTAATGAGGGATCCCGTTCCACTCCTAACCCCTTTTGATACATGAGAGCTACATTGTATTGTGCATCCACATCATTTTGATTTGCAGCTTTCATATACCATCCAAAGGCCATATTGTAATCCTGTGGCATTCCATTACTGCCACGTTCATATATGTATCCCATGTAATTTTGAGCTTTTGCATGACCTGCACGTGTTGCTTTTTTATACCAAATTGTCGCTTGTTGATCATGACCATTGTCTTCATGTATTAAAGCTGCAGAATATTGGGCTTCAGTATGTCCTTGTTTGGCAGCTTTTTCATACCATTGTAAAGCTGAGTGATCATCCTGTTTCACACCAAGTCCCTGATCATACATGTATCCAAGGTAATATTGTGCTTCTGCATTGGAATCCTCATTATGAAATATTCGTATGCTTTCACATAATCCTGTTGACTCAAAAACTTCTTTCCAATATGAATGTCAAAGGATGATGATGTTGAGGACGTTTGTGAGAAGGTTGCTTGTTTTGATTGTTGTTCGATGGTGAAGAAGTCTCTTTCTTCTTGGGTGAAAGTTTTTCTAATACTTGAGAGACATTAATTCTATCGTCACATTGAAACCGAACCATTGATTTAATTAATTGAACTAGTAAATCCGAGTAATTGCTCTTCATGTGTGAAGTAATGAATTGGTGAATGACATCATCTCTCGAGTTCATGACTAACGTTGACCAAGATGTCACTAAATCGAATGAAATCAGTTGATAAATGGTTACTCCAAGTGCAAACATGTCACTGGAAAAGGAAAATAAAGGTCTCGTTGTCTCCGCTGCAAAGGCCTGTTGTCTTGAGTTGGCACTTGAACATTCTTGTGACTTTCTTGAGGCTGCACTGTTTGAATTCCGAACGACGAAGGAGGGAAATTCGAGTCCTTGGTGCTGTTGTTTCTAATAGCATTTGTGATTCTTTCGTAGGAAGTGACACTATTTTTTGATATTCGATGTTGTTGCGTTATTGGAAGGAGGAGATGTGGCCATCAATAATTTGAAAGATAGAATTTTGTTTTCTTTCTTTGTGTTTGGGTTTTTAAATTGATCAATGAACATCCAAACATCTTGATCTGATGAAAGACACACTTCCTCTTCAGCACTTTGTTTGAGTCGAAAATTGGTGCATTTGTCGTCCGAAATAAAGTTTAAATTCTTTGCCTTGTTTTTGATGTCTTTCAATAGGTTATCAAAAGATGTATTATCTTCAAGAACGAGTAAAGGTTTTTCAACATTTGATGTGCTGTTGGAAGCAGCACTAGTGCCTGCAAGGGATGAGCTTTCTCTCTCTAAGCGAACAATGACTTTTGACATTTTTCTGAAATTTCCAAACAAGCGTTCATGAAATAATTCCAAAAGAAGATGACATCCATTAAGGAACTCGATCCGAGAAACATGCCTCCTCTTCTGTTCTTGACAAAGCTCGTGTTTGATTTACGATAGTCTTCACAAATATTACACAAATATCGACTCCTCTTTGTTGTTCAATATCATTGGTAAATGATGCCTGTCACTCAACTTTTTATCTTCCCACAGGGGCCTCTTCCTCTGTCCTCGCCTCCATTCTTGTGCATTGTATACTTCATGCAAGAGCGGTGTTCCTTTTGTTTTTCACTCCTTACTCTCTCCTTGAAGTGAGATCAAGATTTTTGGCGACGGTATCATTGTCATGCGACCAAAAAGGAAATCCATCCTCAAACAAAATCACACAAACTAATTATCGGTCGTTCCACAACAACCGTTTTTTTTCAAATCCCATTTAATTCTCTCCTCTTCCACCACCCGTAAGATCAACAACCACCATCACCCCCTCATCACCCTGAACCAAGCGTTGATCCGAGAATTATTGGATTCCAATTCCTCGCTCTATTACTACTCGCTTGTTGTTGTGAGAATATTTTTATATTTATATTGTAATCAACATGATATTAGCAACAAATTCTTTCAATCTTGTGTTGGTGGTCGTATTGATCATCATCAACATGCTTCAACATCATGCTGCTGCCGAATTTAATTATAAAGGAGCGGCTGTTCCTCTCGAATATTCACAACAAAAGGTTTGCCAAGTAGTTGTGGGACTTGCACAATATGTAAGTTGTTTCACAATAGATCTATTGGACATCTCAGAATTTAATATTTACCATGTTTCATTCTCATTATGATCATCACCGTTTTCAATAATTATGTGAATCCTTCTTCCGTGCTTGATGCTTGGATGAAAACACAAACAAAACACAAAATAATCGGAAAAAATCTTTCGCTATATAGAAACTTCTCTCGGAGAAGAAGAGTATTTCTGTGATGGAGCAGGAATTGATCCATACATGTACAAATAGTGCTGCATTCAATAGAAACCAAACCATGATGAACACGTGTCACGAATTGGTCATTTCCTTCTTTCCACACGTTCTGAGTGAAATGATTGCAGATCATTCACCCAAGACAATTTGCCAAAGACAAGACAGAGGCTACAAGTTGGTCATGTCACAAGTGAAGGATGAGAATAGAACAAAGTATATTTGCAATGTTTGTCAATTGATTGTTTATGAAGTCGGTATGTTTTACTGATGCTAATATTTTGTGTAAATCATGTTTTGGGTTGTGACTTGATTTGGATCACAAAAATGTTTGTACAAATTCGGCTTTTCTCGCCTGCTTACTTTTGTGTGAAAATTGCATCTACAGAATTATTTATCGCACAAAATGAGTCCATGACACAACTCACTCATAAATTAGAGGAAGTCTGTACAACTGTACCTACAGCCTATCAAGCCATTTGCATCTACACGGTTCAACAATACCTTCCAACATTTATTGAAGAGGTTGAACATGAATTGTCTCCATTGGTTAGTTGTCAAGAAATTGGTTACTGCCCAGAGAATCCAACCGATAGTAAGAGAATTGATCATTCTCCACCCATCAAGATGAAACGAGCAAATACTGAGAGAATAGCTTCCAGGTTAATCTCCATCAAGTCCATTCTAAATAAATGATCGAATAGGTAACCTAAAGTCGCCATTTTATTTGCGTGCAGTAAGCCAATGTGTCTTTCGCTTGCTCCCAAACAAGAATCATAATGCGACCAGGTTACTGGGGTTCTTATGTTGAAGTGCAGTTGCTTCTATCATTTCAACAAAATTTCAATTCACTCACGCATGAAGTGACAGACATCTCTGAAGCTAATGATTGTCATTATTCTTCCACCAATCATGCAACCCACAGCGTAAACGACCACATTATTGAACCCCAATTCCTTCAAAATTTCAGCTGCATATTCGGATCTCATATTTGTTATACCATACAAGATGAATAAGGGTCTCTTGTACTGGTTGAGAGAGGCTTTCTTCCGAGGAGGCTTCTCAAATCCGTATTGTTTCAAGAATGTGTCACGAGAAGTATATAGGAATATGTGCTCAATGCTCATTAGAGGAATATTAATGGCGTTTGGATGTATAGGAGGAAAGCTTTCCCCATTCGGTTCCACTGCAGACGGTTCTTGTGCAAATTCATAGGGCTCCCTTACATCCATGAGAACAAAATCCTTTCCTGCCTCTTGATTCTGCAGTATTTGTTTCAATTCTTGTTTTGAAATGTAGGTGCAATTGCCTTTTGAAATGGTGGCATGTGCTGCGACAACACCATTCGCTCTTTCGCTCGGATGCAACTTCATCGCCTCTTCGCTGAGTTTGAGAACGTTAACGAATTGATCAATAAAGTCTGCAAATGCATTATATTGTTCTTTGAGGTTGGCAGCAATGGGATCCTTCTTGGGAATGTTCTTCTTCGTTTTCTTTGTCGGTTTATGTTTCAATGATTGGGCAAGACTGGAATAAAAACTTCGTGTTTGAAGAATATTACTAGTCGAGTCAGGATCCTTGCTCAATCTTTGGTAAAATAGTTGTATGATTTGTTTCGATGAATTAAAACACATGAATTGAGCTGTCGGATCATGACTCGGAAAGCTTGCCTTCCAACATTTAACAAGTAAGGTTGTCCTTAAGGTTCGTTTGATCATGATTTTGAAAACGATTTTGAAAATTTTTTTAATTTATTTTTTTAAAAAAATATGCCAACCACCTCTCGCAAAACTCGTTCCACCCGAACGCCTTCATCATCAAAAAAAGCAAGCTCCTCGTCCTCAAACAGCACTAGTAGAACGTCCTCTCCAACACCAAATCACAAACGAAGTGTTCATCAATCAGTCATTAATGTGGAGGAAGAGGATGAAGAATTTTTGAATCATCAAACATCAGCCTCCTCGGAATCTATTGCAGGAAACATTCCGAGTTCATATAAATCATACGATATTAAACAATTGGAAGCAATGAGAGCGAGGATTGCATTATTGGAGAGAGATAATTATGTTGATAGGAAAGGAGGAAGTGCAGGAAAGTTTAGTCTAATTTCTGGAGGTGACTATGAAGAAGGTATTTGGGATACAACGAATGATGTCACCAGCAGTACTAAAACCAAATCAAAGAAAAAAAAGAAAGACACTTCTTCCGACGATACTGAGCCAACATCAAAGAAGAGAAAGAATGAATTTAAAGATTCGAGAAAGAAATCGGTAAAATTCGTTCGAAGAAAATTAGATCATGTATTATTGAATTTGGACAAAGTTCACTTGAATCCACATCCCAATTATTTTTCAATTGCAGCAGCTCCTTCCATTTATCCACCTCGAAAATATTGTTACACAACAGGATTCTTAGCAAACTACACGTGTCCACACACTGGAAAGCATTTCATCAATATTCCAGCTTATGAGCATATCAAAAAAGACTTTCAATTGGAATAGCGTTTATCAGATATTTGATGTGTGCCAAGCTAGTTGCGCACAACCATCACCAAATCTTTGGACATTGACCATCAAATTTTTGATGAGCTCGAGATGTGAACATTCGGATGACAGCGAAATAATTATTGCATGTTATGGACCACTAGGTAGAACAAGCTTGTACTGTTGTTTACAAGCAATTTAGACCTGGTAGCATGAGCTTTTGTACTGCTGAATTTTGAGAACATCATCAACAAATTAAAATGTCTCAAGACCCCGTTCAATTCTCCCTTCCTCTCTCCATTAACGAGCAAACCTATGAGGATTATCTCAACAAAGTTGGTACTAGCTTGGAAGATATTTCTCTCATCTCATCATCACTGTCCGAAATTAACAAACAAATCGATCATCTATTTAATACAACAATTTCAAACCATTCGGAATCTTTTTCTTCCAATATTACATCATCCGAGAAATTATTACAACTCTTCAAATACGATGTGCCAAAGAAAACACCAGGAATATTTACCTGTAGCCGAGCGAAGGATGAAAAACAATTTGATTTATTGCAGAGTGCTTTTGGGTTTGGAGATGTCAATACTAATGATGAGCGTGTGATTACTCTTGCGAAAATTATTCATCTATTGTACGAGATTGTGAATGCCTTACAGAAGGAAATTCAATGTGAATGGTTAGGAATTTACAAAAATATCAATTCATGTCTGTACAAGCTGAGTTACTATGGAAAGTTCAGTAGAGCAGATTTTCCAATCGATGAAGCACATGCCAAGTTATCGACGAATTCTTTTGTTGCATTGAATGGAGTTGTAGTGACTTGGGATGATGTCAATTCAGCCTCTGATTCTGGTCAGCCTTATTACAGTTGTGATGCAATGGTCCAATCGGAGTGTTGTTTGCCAATTTTTGATGAAACTAATACTCGGGTAATTGGTATTATTGATGCAGAAGCGCATTCAAACAAGTTCTTTTCATTGGAGAGAAAATTTAAATTATTGAGGGCGTGCTTTCTTTTGAGGTTTGTGTTTGCCATGATCCACTGAATGTATGCTTCTCGCTTGTCATTGACATGCATCCCTAGCAACGTGCACAATCTCATGGCCTATGTGTACATTATACACAATATATTTTCTTTATTGCTCATGAGTATTATTTGTGTTAAGCTAACTACACATATTTACATATTTTCAGTCGGTTATTATTCTATTGATAAGGGGTGCCATTCAGAATATCCAGTTGCTTGGAAATTACTTCAACAAATTGATTCTGGTTGATTCGTGCACTCTTGTCAAATGATGACATGGCTTTCTCAGCACTTTCTGAATCCACTTTAAGATTGACTAGAGTTTTTAACGTTTGATCATACGAAACCCAGCCCTTATTATTAATGTCAATCATGGAGAACATGGTTTCGAAATCTGTCGGCGTCAGGATCTTCTTTGCAGAATGTGATTGAATTTTTTTCAAATTATCAATAAGAAATTGTCTAGGATCAGATGGCATTTCAACCAGCACAAGCTGGAGCAAATATTGAAGGAGCTCGCTAACTTTGTGTGTCTTCATGTATTCTCGAGCAGTATGCTTACTCTCGTAAAAGGGTTCGTTTTCCTCTTCAGTTTTTCCTTCGACTGCATTGACAAATCTTCTCATATCAGCCTCCATATTGTTAGTAATATCCACAAAGGTCAAGGGTATGTTTCCATTATAATGCAAATATTTTCTTAGATCATTAATTGTCTTATCTTTCTCAATGTACTCGTGATGCACCATCAATGTGTCAATTTCATCCTGATTGTAACATCCTTTTTCCCTTAGGGATTGCTGAACGACCTCTCTAGAGGCTCGCACAAGTACAATTTTTACGTTATGTGAGTCTTTGTATAATTTAATTGCTTCCATGAGCGGATTGAAGACAGATTCACTCTCTTTGGAACCACAACTATTAGAGGTTGAAATGATCACTTTCCGACATGAGGGATATTCTTTCAATATTGTCTCAACTTTTGGGATGGCTTTGTACACATAATCGATACTCATAGGTTCCGAGTTTGAAAACTTGTATTGTTTGTCCAGAAATTCTTTCCAACACAGATCAAATTCCTTATTTGAGAGTCGAGAGGAAAAACTTGAAGCATCCACTATTTCAAAACAATCCGGAGTTCTTTTAAAATCGTGCTCAATGTCCTTCGGTGCTACTGTAACTGTTGGAACAAACAAAAACTGTTCTAACCCATCCAGTATCCTACTGTTATTTTGTGGTTTTTCCCGCAGCAGATTTTGTGTGTCCATCAAACTTTGCAACAAATTCTCCTTTCGACTGCCAACAGCTCCATAGACCATAACCATGGTTGGTCTTTGAGGTCCGAACATTTTGATGATTCAAAGAGCTCCACCGATCCACCGATACAATGTATTTATTTTTTTTAAACAATTTTTTGCTTTTTGTAAATTCATTGGCGGCAATTCATTTCGCTCTCCGTTTTGATCGATCTCCTTTTGAATCCAAAACAACAAAAAATCAAACAACAATTACTTCGGCGAAGGCTTGATCTCTCTGTTCGGGATTTGTTTTTTACAGCGAGCGAACCCATCCGATTATCCTTCTCAAGCAGCAATATCAACACTGTCGAGAACGAACACACAGTGGTCATCAATCAGTAATGATTCATTCCATCATCAATTTGGTGCCAGTGTGAATTATTGAGTTCTCAGAGTTTTTGTTCGGAAAGATATTCATCGGAGAGAGGATTTCAGCAGCACAACCCATCATCATCTTTATTTCTGTAATATATATATTACATATTGATTCAATACCCAATAGTGGTTTAGTGAGAAAAAACTGATAAAATGTTACATCTGTATGTGGCACACTATGCAACCAAGTTGGCAAATATTGTTCAACAAGTTCCGTTACCTTTCTTGACCATAACCATTATCTGTAATGCAATTGCTTTTTTTATAGAGCTCTATTTAGATTATAGGCAAAGTAGACTTTTGAAAACATCGACGAATATTCCATCTAAATTGAAAGATTATATTGACAAGGATGAATATGATGACATGAGAAATTATGTAAGTTCGTTGAAAATAATTTAACTTATGGATGAAAAATTAAATCATTCGCAAAATCAGAGTATTACAAGATTAGGATTTTCTCGATTAGAAAATGCTTATGGTTTCATTACAGAAGTATTTATTTTGCTTTCGGGAGTTCTAAACTGGATGTTTGATCTAGCTCTCAAAACGAACATGTTGCTTTTTGGACTCGGAGAGGAATATGTCATCACTAGGGGTGTGACATTTCTATTTTTGGTGTCGTTGTTGAGCACTTTTGTTCGTGCACCATTTGAAGTGTATCGAATTTTTGTTTTGGACGGAAAATTCTTTGAGATTAAGCAAGAACGAAGAGATTTACAAAAATCGATAGAAAATGATCCATCTTCTGAATTTTTAAAGAAAGTAACACTTGAGAAAAATAGTAGAAAGCTAGTCATGCAAATTAATAATGCAAACATGTTTTTCGGAGATGAAAATCATCAAAATGGTTCCTACTACAATGAGTACAGTACTGATGAGGAGGAGATTACTTTACTTCCTGAACATGAAAGCCCTAAACTCAATTCAAGATCCACTGATAGCAAAGATGAAGCTGTTGTTACCAACAAGTTCGTTGCTTCCAAACAAACTCCAGAAGTATCAAACGAACAGGTGAATGAAGAGAATGAAGCCTCCTTGAGTGACAATAGTAGCGACAGTGGCGTGCAAGACATCATGACAGTTTTTCGAAATTGGATAATGGATCAAATCAAAATGGGAATTATGGCTGTGGTGATTGGAATTCCCCTATTATTTTTAATTTTGTGGCTTCTCCTTACGGGTAGCCCAATTCATTGGGTCTATCTTTGGTTTGGTGGTGTTGCTCTTTCTGTTGGAATTTATGAATTGTATCCAATTGTGTTGGCACCCATGTTCAATACTTTTTATGGTAAGTGTTGAGTGTTGGCCATACTCATTTACTGATGATTTTTGAGAATTCTCAAATTCCTTTGAAATCTATCAACAGAAATGCCTGAAGGCCCACTTCGAAAGAGTATTGAAGAACTTACAAAAACTGTTGGTATTGATGTGAAAGATATCGTCTATGTGGATGGATCAAAACGAAGTGAGCATGCCAATGCATTTATGGTTGGAAGTGGAAAAAACAAGAAAATTGTACTCTATGATAATTTAATCAGCAAGGATGGGTTGAATTTAACAAATGAGGAAATTTTAGCAATTCTCGCTCACGAAATTCATCACTACAAGATGAATCACAGTATCAAAATTCTAACTTCTCAAGTTTTGGCATTGGGAATATTTCTGTTCATTCTTTCATTTACCATTTACAATGAACATTTTTATACTAGTTTTGGATTTGGATTTATTGATGTAAGTAGTGGAGTACAAATTATTATGATGGAAATGATTGTAACACGCATGATGATGGGATCATTTTGGTTTTTTGGTGTAATTTTTTGAATTTTCTTAAATCAATTTCATTCAATTTTTAGCCAAGTGTTGGCCTATGTTTATTTTCTTACCTCTATCAGCCATTAGGAAATCTAGCCATGGTGATATTGAACTACATTCAACGAAGTTATGAATACTCAAGCGACGAATATAGTCTTTCTCTTGGCTATGATATTGAGAAACCACTCATTAGAATGCATGTAAATAATGTATATAATTTAATTGTTGACAAATTTTACTCGAGATATTACAATGCTCATCCTTCCCTTTTAGAGAGAATGGACAATATCAAGCGATTCAAAGAAAAGCATGCCATTCGACAACGCCTTAACGAGAAACTAACCAAGCAAGAATAGTCGTGTGGATGGATGAACATTTTTGTATGCGAGATCAATTTTGACTGTTCTAACTTGTTTTTGTGTATTAACAATTAAACTTTTCAAAAAGAAAATTAAGTCAACAATGGCTTTATTATTAATTGTGTCGTTGTTGCTCTGGGTTAAATGATCCAGAAGTGATTTTTGAGTGTTTTTATTGAACAGCGGAAATAGACTGATGACAGAAGCGGGTTGAGAAGACGTTGGGAAGTGAGCTTCACTATTTAGACCGAAACTTTCGAAAGGGTTCGTTTATGCTGTCGTTATGTGCATCACAAACCACTGTTTATTTTCGTGACAATATGGCATTGGCAGGAATATGGGAGTATTGAAACCTCCCCTTCAAAACATAAGCCAGCATTTTCGGTACCAGTCTTCTTTTCAATATCGTCAATAAATTACCGATGGAAAGTGGCATCAATAGAATTGTTCACATAAAGAAGCATTATTGAGAATTATGTTCAGATTTTTCTTCATTGTTTGACATTGTTTCTGTTTGTTCTTGTTGTTGTACTACAGTAGTTGTGGATGTGTCAGTTTCCACATTCGTATTGGCACCAGACTTTTCCTCCACTGACGAACTTGCAGAGTTTGCTTGTTTCTTTTCTTTTTAGCAGCCTCTTTTCGTTCTGCTTCCTCCAACTGTTGTTTTTCCATTCTCATTAATTTTCGATAGTCTCCAAAGACGACTTTCATCAATTGTCTTTTTTGAACATCGGCAACACTCTTGGATTGTAACGTAGAAATAACCTTGTTGGTCTCTCTAATTTGATACTCATCAGCATCCTTTCTTTTCAATCCCAATTTTAAATGTTCAATGCACCAATTTAATTCAGCATCGAGTTGAGCCTTTTTCTCTTCCGAGAGTTCAACTTTGGGCATTGAAGAGGATGAAGGAGGTTTCTTCGTGGGCGGCATTTTTTTTTGAATTTGTTTGAAGAAAATGCAAAGTTTTGTTTGAAAGGCCTTACGAGACCAAAAGAATTATTCATTGACTGTCCTCCACTACTTCAATAGAATAGAATATCAACATTCACACCTGGAAACACACATTCCGTCAGTTGAGGAAAAGGACCTGTGTTGTGTTTAACAATTAAATTTAAAAAAAATATTTCAAAACCAATTTGCTTCCTCATTTCATCTCCAATCTCGTATGAGCAAAGTGATTTCGGTATGAAACCGATTAGGTTGGAACTTCTTTAACGGTCAAATGGTATCATGACGATACGATCCATTTGTTCTAATGGAGTAGGATAATAGGATGGCATAATTTGATGAAAATCAATACGTGAGGTCGGTCAATGAGAGTTTCTGACATACAAAAGAAGCCTTCATGTGTAGCGTATTCATGGTGCCTACATGCATTCAATACTTTTGTGTTCAGTTCGACGAACCAAAATATTGTATTCGCAACAATTCGTCGCAGGAATGAACAAAGTTTTTAAAATATCATGTTCTCGACTTTACTTTTTGACAATCCCAAATTTATGATTCATGCTTGTGGTCTATTGCTTAATAAGCAACGCAAAATGGGCCTCACGTGAAAAAGGTGGAGCAAATTCAATACTAGCACCATGAAAATGTGGAATCTCTCAAGATTCAAAAATTTAGGTCTAGTTACGCTAGTGACGTTGACAACTCCTGAAATCAAACCTGCGGGTAATTCAGACTTTGACAACTCCTTAGCCTTATAACCTAAATCGTAACGTGATCTTCTCTATAGTATTTTGTAGTTGATCAGTTCGTGTTGGTGACATGGCCTGAATTACCCTAAGAAAAATGGCCACACCAGCAAGTTATGTGCTTCTCTCAGTGTTGCTGATTACAATTCTTTTTCCGCACTTGGTTCATTCTAACCTACACCAAAACGCTCCATACACCACGTCACTTCTCTCTTCTTCAAACATTAAAAAGATTGCGGATGGGGACACACTGGTTGGAGTACAAACATTTCTAACACTCTTCATATGGAAAGATAGAATACTCACCAACATAACCACAAGTGATTCGTTCTTTTCAGATTGGAGAGATCAGCTCAGAAATTCTTCATCAAATGATTTGATTTTTACACGAAACAATTTCATCCAACTGTTGATGAAAAAAAAACTCGAAAAAGGACAAGCCACACAGGCATTCACCATCAGTATTGGGATCGAAAATCAAAATTTAAACCCCTTCCTGGACATGCTGAAATTTTACAACTTGACATCTGACACGTTTACATTTAGGATTCACAAAACATGGGTGTGGTCAGAACCATGTAGAATTGGAAATATCTTTGAACAACATGATGCTGTTCTTATGGATCCATATGATTTTGCTTTTTACTTGAGAACATACAGAGATAGAACAGAAAACGCATCTCAATCATCATATATCAACACCTATGATTTTATTCCAATTCCATTAATTCCAAACGCACTAGTAGTGAAGAGTGCGAAAAATAGTTGGCAAGACAACACGAACTTCCTTCAAAATCAAACAATGACTTTAATGTTTGAATACAAGGACATGAATTGCCAAAACGCAGACGTGGCAGATGCACAAATACTTCGATTCTTGACGGGATACTCCAATTTCACACAACAGGATGCAGAGCTTATTCAGTCTCTCTCAAAAAAAACTATTTCGTATGATTGTCGAGTTTACAACAATTATGTACCACTATTTCTAACATGTCATAATTTGACTTCATCGAAATGGGACTTGAATGTGGTCACTAACTCATTATATCCATCCACATGTCACCCATGCGGTACTGATACTCTTTGCCTTTCAAGGAATTTTCGTGTTGAAACAGATTCTGGTATATTTCCTCAGTTCATTATTGTTATACTTTATTTTATACTATTATTTGCAACAGGAAGTTACAAAATTCCAGCATTTAAGAGGAGATTGCTGGTACCTTATACGCCAGTGCTTCTGTTTTTTGTATTTTTAATGTTTTGCAATTTTCTTGTGAGATTATGCTCCCCTCTCTTTCATTTTGTTTCTCTGGTCATTTATACATGGTTTTTCTTGATCTATTTCCTGTCAGTAGTCCGCTTTTATTACTTGAGAAATCTATATTCATCATTTCCCAATCAAGAAACAAGAAGTTGCTCAAAATTTTAGCAACCAATCGTATTGGATTATTCATCACTGGTGTTTTCTCTTTTATTGTGAGCTTGTGTTTCTCCCTAATTGGAGTCTATATTTTCTATGCAAACTCGATCGAAGAATCGAACACTTTCAGAGCAATCTTTTTATTCATAATTTTTGTTCTGGGCAGTGTCCTTGCCTTAATTACCATATCACTTGACATGGTTGCCAATAGAAAGAAGATTAGACAAAAGGGATTTGTCAGCTTCCTCTTATTCGACGATCCTTTTTATGCCAGAATCGATTTGATATCGATTACTCTGACCATCATTGTGGCCCTTCTCGTCGTAATAGGAAATGCCATTCCTGGATTATCTGATGTGGCTGCAAAAGGAGGCGCTGGGGCCATTCTCAACACAGTTCTATGCTTTTGCTGTGTCATGTTTTGTGGTGGAACCACTCTGACCATTGAAATTGTTAAAAAATTGAGAAATCGAAATGAAAAGAAAACATGCAGTGAATTGGAGGATCTACTTGCAGAGAATGATCTCTTCCTTCTACTCAGGGAATATGCTTCCAAAGAGTTCAGTATTGAAAATATTGAGCTCTTCTCATTGCTAAAATCCATCAAGAGTGAAATGGTTTCGCTCTCTCAATTGGAAGCGATAGAGAAGGATTTTATTGCGAACTTCTCGAAATACGAGATCGATTTACCATCCGTCACAAAGAACAATTTTTATAGGCTTCTTGAGGAGTGCAAATCTTCCAATCCACAACAAGTGTCGACCAAAAAATTGACAGATGTACTTTGGAATGAATTAATGACCAACATTTTGGACACCTTTGGACGATTGGAACAAACTTCTCAATACAAGGAATGGTTGAGCATCAAGACCATGCAAGAAAAAAGAGGTTTGAAGTAAGCCAATATGGAATTCTCATCACACAGTCTGTGTGTGACGACATGTATTTGTATTAATGAACGATCATCATAAGCTTAATCATGTTATTGATCTCAGATCACACTGTTCGTCTCCTTAATCAAATTTGTGAAATTTCTCTCTCATTGATTCGACAGGATACAAAAATCCTCCAATTCCCAACAATCCAAAATATGCAGCTGCCAACACTGCCACAATGGTCGAAAGCACGAATGGTCTTTTTACCTTATATCCAAGTGCCGTATTCAATCCAAACAACATGTGATACACACCAGCAGTCATCAGAATTCCAAAATAGGACATTCCAACCCACGGGCCAACGACCTTCTCCAAGAGATGTCTCAACGTTGCGAATTCTTGATCATACGCCTTTGCAAATCGTACTCCATAAATATGACCTGGAATGAGCAAGAACAAGGCATAACCTGCATATTGATGAAGTCGTTTCCATATGGACACTGAAGCAGTTTTCACTGTTGTGGTGGTGGTAGTTGTCTTTGAATTTCCATTCTCCAAACTTTTTGTGGCCAAAGATTTTGAAGGAAAATAATTCAAACAGAAAAAGTAGGAATTGGCCATCAAATGAACCATCAAAGGACTCATCACCACCACACCTTCGACTGCTTTCGAAGGACGATACCATGCACGAGTGGATTCCAGCACCTGATCGTACACTTGTGGTGAAAGAGCTGCTGAAATGGTGGTGGCCACATGTATGGATGTAAATACAGAGAATGCAATTCCACTCCAGTGTTGAACTTTTCGAAACAATGGAGTCCAAAAGGTGCTAATGCTTGACTTTGAATGGTCTGGATCATTTGCCTTTTCCTTTTGGTGATTGAGTGCAGTGGAATTTGATGAGTTCATGTGAGTGTTTTCAAAGGGAAGTTATTGTTATTGTTGTTGATTTTTTGTTGATGGAACAGGCTGTGAGATATTCAAATCTTGTCGCTCGCAAAGGAGTGGTCGCTGATTTTCAAAAAGTCCTCACTGCCGATCAAAAAGTCCTCTTGGCGGTCAATTCCCCATAGGGAACTGTTTTTACATCACATGACTGCTACTGTCAATTCTCTGGACAATGTGAAATGGACTCATCATCATTGAGGTGCGTTATCCATGGGATGAAAAAGTCCAATCTCCTTTTCATTTGTCAAAAAAACCAAGACCAATGCATTCCCGCCAACTGAATGCAATTCGTTGTCCCCACTCGAGATGACAAGAAAAAAATGGTTCCCTACAAACATGTTCATTTGTATCGATCGATAGCTTCTTCCAAAAGCTCTCTCTCCGACACTACCAGTACTGCAAGTTCATTGAAAGAGTCCAATTGGTTTCGACCAAAGGCCATCATAAAATCACCTTCTGATCTTGCAAGACAAGAGGATGGTGTGTTGGAACAGGCAACTTATTCGAGAGAATATCATCATGATGAATTTTCAATCGGTGTGAGTGATAGTCATATTTGCATCACAGAAGGAGATTTGGTGTATTTTTGGGGAGGAAGAAATTCAACAAAGGGACGGGTAAGTGGTGGACTATTGGTGTGTATGTGAGTGTGATCATGATGTTTTTATTTATTATTATATTCATATGGTTGATGATATTGATCTTGGTGGTGACACTTTCTAAATTTGGTCATTGGGTGATCCAACTTGTTCCAATGCTCTGAATAGATTCATGTATATGACATGTCATTAAATCGATGGTTACCTCCAATCGAACCCATCTCAATCCTTGTTCCACAAACCAGATATTATCATGGCTTTGTAAAACAAGGAAAAGATCCAATTTTCTGGTTGTATGGTAAGTGTGTGAAATTAAATGCGTCGACACACTGTTCATCACCTGAATTACAAAAATTACAAAAATTACTAAACAATGAATGCCACATTTGTGCCGAATCCTCAAAAATCGGAAAACACATTGCACTGAACACATCCCAATTCTTGGATATCTTTAGGTGGTGTCAATGAGGAACCTCCCAATCAATCAAAATGGACAAATGAGCTCTACTCTTTCAATTTAACCACTCGAATGTGGTACAAACATGCAAATGGCCCCTCTCCACTCCGAGGCCATATTTTCCTTTATCGAAAATCCAATCATTCCTTACTTTTATATTCTGGAAATAATTCCTATTCCACCAATGAAATGTATGAATATGACATTTCAAACTGCATTTGGGAAAAAATAGTGCAGAAAAACTACATTTCTGCTCGCGCCTATGCAAGTGGAAATATTATTTATCGTCAAGGAAAAGAATTGTTAATTGTTTATGGAGGAGATGTTGGAGTTGGAGGCCAAGAATTGAGTGATGAATTATGTATCTATGATTTTTCTGAACAAACATGGAGAATTGTTGATCTTATGGGAACTTCAATACCACCTCCATTGTTTGGTCATGCTAATTCGACGTGCCAAATTTCTCCAACTGAATTGTTGATCTATGGCGGATGTGACGATCAATACATCCCCTATGCACATTGTTTTATTTATAATTTTGTAACAGAACAATGGAAATCTCTGGCTGTGGCCAATATCAAAGCATTGAATTGTTCCTCCATGTTCATTGATAAGAAACGAGGAAAAATTCATCTCTATGGAGGATATGACTCTGGAGCACGAAGTAACATATTCATGACTATTGAAATGAATACTATTCTCAATTACACATGTTTGAGAGCATTTCCAAATTTATTTCCTGCTTTAATGAGAGAGAATTTAACAGACATTTCTATTTTAGCGTATGATGTGCATCACATGCATGACTAGCATGACCAATTTTGAACCTGTGAAATGAGTGTCAAATTTTTTAAATAGAGAGTTCTTTTCGTGAAATGTCACAAGCTTTCACATCCTTCTCTATTTTTCCATGCTTTATCAACATTGCATACCATCCTGATGAGACACACAATTTTGCCAACTCCGTATACCACAAATCCATCCATCCATCCATTCGTCGATCATTCCAAAAAAGCTCAAATTTCATTCAATAAAAATCACAAAAAATGTCCCAACAACAAATTGCAGCCAAAGATTTCATCGTCGTTCGAGAAGCTTCGTCGGAACCACCGAATGGATCAGTGATGATCACTTCAACCCCTTCAACCACTGCAACAACAACAACAACAACAACACCAACAATAAACTCTCAATCCATTCTCATGTCAAACAATAACAACACGAATCAAGTACAAGCAGAGGAGAAGAGATGTAATGGATCATTCCAAGAAGAGGCTATTCAACCATCACCAGAAGAAGAAGAACATCAACAACCGAATGAGACATTGAACGTAATCATGCAAGAAGAAAATAATCATCATTTAAACCTCTCATCATCACAAGATGCATCATCAAGGTTTTCCGTGGTGGATCATCAATTTTCAGGATCATCCAAAAAGGCTTCATTTGCAGATGAAGAGTCAAACCTCTCCACCATCACCTCCTCCACCAACAAGGCTTGTCTATCACAAGAAGACATCACAACAACAACTACTACGTTAGATTCATCATCACCAACCCAGACGAGTCCTCAAGAACGGAAACGAAGAATTTCCTCACGATTACCTCTCACTTCCACGGATGAATCAACAACTACAGCGGTCAATTCTTCAACCAATGGTTTTGATGAGGAGGATGAAGAGAGTGATGACTCATCGTCTTCTTGCTACGAAGATGAGTCTCAACAAGATGATGAGCTCTCCAATCAAATTCAAGACAATTACTTTAATGCACGATCAAGAAGAGTGTCCTTGTGTGGTGACGATATATTGGGTGTGAAAAAATCTGAAGATGAGAACACAACACAACCTACAACATCTTCGACGTCAACAGCAAGAAATGTATCCAATTCGATTTTAGTAGTTAATGAAGCGATCAATTCGTATCCTTCTGTGAATGAGATTCGATCGCCACGAGATGATTTAAATGAAGCTCCCAAAGTATATAGCTCAATAATATTTGAATCAAAACATGACTCGAAACGAATTCAACAATTTGAAGAAATTGCCGCTAATTATCATGAATTTGTGACGAAAAATCCTAAACAATTTCGGAAGCTCATCCGAGAAGGAATTCCCACAAAAGAATTACTGAAAACTATTTGGAAGAGAATGGTCGGATCGGAAGAATTGTCTAACAAATATCCAGGTCTTTATAAAAAGCTGACTCAACTTGACGACACCATTCTAGAGGACGACGTTCATAGAATTATGAAAGACGTCTATAGAACATATCCACAATATGAATTTTTTAGCGAAAAGGATGGACCAGGACAGAAAGCTTTGTGCCGTATTCTCAAAGCATATTGCTATTTTGACAAGCAAACAGGATACTGTCAAGGCATGGCTTTTATATGTGGATTTGCATTGATGAATCTTGAAGATGAAGAGGATACATTCTGGTTCTTTGTTCAAATCATGAACAATGCAAGACACGGTTTGAAAGACATATTTTGTGAGGGATTACCTCGATTACGGATGGTCATGTTTATGGTGTCTGAATTGACCAAATTACGATTGCCAGATATTCACAAACATCTTGAAGACAATTATATTCTACCAGAAATGTATGCCAGTTCAATTTTAATGACCCTCTGTACGAATAGATTTACATTTACTGCCTCACAAAGGATATGGTCGATATTTTTGAATGAGGGATGGAAAATGTAAGTTCTCTCATCCTAATGATGGCTAATAATTGTAATTATTTTTTTGTAATATTTGTTTTGTTATTCATAATAATTGTGGAAATAATATTATTACATAACAACAGCATGGTACGATTAATTGTTGGATTACTTAAATTATCACGTAAGGAAATAATGGGATGCAATGCTACAGAAGTGACATCAAAAATATACGAACATTCAGAAAAAACTGAAGTTGACACTCTCCTCAAATATGCCTTCAGTGTACGACTCACGTCACGTCTCATGATAAACCTCAAAGCAAAATACGAATTAGTATCTTTAACTGAACAAGAAAAACAAGCATTACGAACTCAACGAGAAAATTTGAGAAAGATTCGAAGTAGTAGTCATATTTCTGATGACTCTCGAACAAGATCTTCCTCTCTTCAATTGCCATCCATGTCTTCCATATTTGCAAAAATTTCAAACATGTTTGGCCTTCTTGATAGTAGAGAAGATGATGTTAGTTTGTTCAAAAACAATCTTTAACCAACCACCACCAATATTTTAACTTATTTGTAATCAATACAATTTATTAAACATGTCCTATTGAGTCTATCTCCCAATCTCCATCTCTGATTTCATTTGGATCGAATTAATGACTTGTTTATACCTTAGTGTGTGAGAGATCACAAAAAGCGAAATGTCATGACGAAACGATAAACAAGATTCCTTTTGGCCAAATACCATTGTCAATAAATAAAAACTTTCGAACAAATAGATACTTTTCTGAAGAATGAGGATTGTGCTAATTTTCTTTCCTTTTTTGTCATGAAAAGATCTTTTTTACAAAAAAATGTCCTCTTTTTTCTCTCCATTCCGAAAATTCTTTCTTCAAAACGCATCATCCACAACAAGATCCAATCTCAAGAAGATCATTACTGTTGTTCCGGAAAAACGGAGAGTTGTATTATGGACCGGAAGTGCTCTCGCTTTAGCTTGTACAGGCTTGTATTATTTTGGAATGAATGAAAATCCATTAAAGTCTTCTTCAGTGATGATGACTGATTTATGGAAAAACACAAGAAAATCTCAAGTGGATGATGAATCGCATTGGATTGGCATTACCACTCAATTACATGCCGAAGATTTGTATCAACTCTATTTTGGAGATGTTCAATCGGAGGAGGATTTGGAATTGATTAAAGTTCAAATTATTAATCGACACGGAGCACGAACACCCATCAATGCCATACCGAGTTTTATTGATAGTAAGCCATGGGAGTGTTTACCATATGATTCCAAAGTGATTGTGAATGGCAATTCCAATGATCATGCTCATTTTAGAGCTGTCATGGAATCTGATGATGGTTTGGAGTTGTACGGTAATTGCATGAAAGGTCAACTCACAGCCAAAGGATCAATGCAAATGGTTAAAGTTGGTAAATCTTTGGGAGATCAGTATTTGAAAAAATTGTTTGGCCGATACGATGAAATTGATGAAATTGTCAAGCTAATATATGTTCGATCGAGTGATATTCGAAGTAGAAGAACAGAATATTCTGCCATGTATTTATTGTTGGGTCTTTTAGGAGAGAATGTGAAAGAATATCCAACCATTCACATGTTTGAAGAATCGAGAGAGACATTGTATGGCCACTTTAAAGTTTGTGCCAAGTTAGGATCCATCATTTCGAAACGACTTAAAACATTGGCTGAGGAAACTGAAAAAGACCCAAGACTCCTTGAAATTAGAGACAAATTGCTTGATTTGTTGGAAGCGAATGCAGCTCAGCCACAACCCGCTCAACCTCAAACACAAGAAATTCATGACAAGGGTTTAATTGAGGCAAAACGGGTCAGCACAGCCAAAGATTTACAACAATGGGAGTCCATCAATAATGCCTTCCTAGGCATGCTTTTCCATGGGCATGAGTTACCAAAAGGTATTACTGCTCAAGATGTCGAGTACGTTTCAAAACATGTTGGAAAAAGCGGTTCCTATTTATTCTCGCCACAAGAGAATGTTCTCACCATGAATATTGGTATGCTTTTAAAGCATTTGGTGGCAAGCATGCAACACAGTGGCAATAAGCATCTACAAAAAGATTTGGATCGGAAAAAAATGGAAATTTATCTTGCTCACGACACCACCATCATTCCAATTTTACTTGCCTTGAATATGTATAATGACGAGTGGCCACCTTTTGCAGCCACATTAGCTTTTGAACTCTATGCAACCAAGAAAAACCCTTCGAAACAGTTTGTGAAAATTGTTTACAATCAGCAAACACTGTTCTTGAAACCAGAGCATCAAGAACAGTTTGTACAAGACTCAAAGACTGGATTAATTCCACTTGACAAGTTTATTGAAATGACCAAACCTTATCGTATTTCCCGTCAAGAATGGACTGAAATGTGCAAATTAGATCGACCAAGAAATTAAAGACCAATCAAGGGTTTGTTGGTGGAGAACAATCATTGAGCACTTGTCAAGAATATGGCATCTTCACTTTGAATCTTGGATTTTAATGGAATTGACAAACAAACTTGCCACCAATTAATTTCTCTTCCTTCTTCGTTCCCTAAATGCATGGCCATGTTCCAACTTGTTCAACTCTCGCAACACCACAAACTTCTCCTTCTCGCTCTGAATCAGCTCACACTTCTCTGGTGGAGGACATTTCACATCCACCACAAATGCATTTGGATCGACTTTTGGAGATTGATCATAATAACTCTGAACGGCACTGAATCGAGTCATGTCATCTGAACTCGTGGACGAAATGAAAAAGGTTTCTAAAAAGACCCAACATGAATGATCCCCTAATCCTGTATCTATCACATACGTATGATATTCCTCGATGAAATTGTCCTCGGTATATTTATGATTGGTCATCACTCGGGTCATTGTAATTCCTCCCACCATTTGAGTCTTATTGACCACAGAATCACCATACACTTCCACACAATGTTCCGAAACAATGGGTCCATCTGGAACAAACTTTTGACAAGTACAACTCGTCGAAGTGTTTGTATAGATATATGCCATTTTGTCGACTTGGCCTCGAAACACAATGGTCGTGTAGGGATCTCTTTTCACACCGTTTTTGAACCAATCATAGACGTGATAACGAGCTCTTTGGTGAGTAAGGTCTCTCTGGGCATACATGGTATAAACTTCTGAATCATTGGATTGATAGTAAATTTGAGAATCAACTTGAGGACAGTAGCGTTTATAGGAATATTCGAAGGGAGGACAACAAAGTGTGTAATCTTGAAGAGAGGGATGAGGGAAGAGACAAATTAAGAGAGTTGTTGTGGAAAGGAGTGCAAATGCAGTGGCGGTGATGATGCTGTGATAAAAAGTGCAAGTCTTTCGTGAGAGGGATGTTTCTCAATTTGATGAATCCAAAAAAATGTTTTCGACTTGGTCCTACATTCTTCTCGTTGTTACTTTTCTGACTTTCCACTCGCTCTCTGCAGTCACTTGTCAACAATGTTGCCTTCCTCCTCAATATTCACAACACGTTCGATTTCAATCTACAACTTCTTCCAATGCATTAAAATCGAATTTCACAACTCTTTATGTGCAACATTCTTATGTGGACACTCTTCAAAATAGAATTCGACAAGTTTATGTTCAGTTTTATTTCAATGAATATCCACAATCGAGTTATAGTGTGATGAATTTTTTGTCCTCAGATCGTTCTGTGAAATACATCTATAAATGGAATGCAACTTGTTGTTCATGTGAAAAAGAACAAAATGTAGGAAATGCACCTTTTCAACCCGTGTGTGCGAAAGGCAGCACCTTTCAAACCACCAATCTTGGCAAATATCCACTGGTCATCTTTTTTGAACAACAACAACATGATTCTCCTCAACACTATTTTTTGAATCAAAGATTTGTCACTTCAAAAGTTTCTGGTCCTTCCAATCAATGTTGGATCATGGAATACGATGAGGTTTTGAATCATTCGAATCGAAAAGAACATATCCATATGATCTTTTCAGAGCAGAGGGTTGGTGTTTCTGATGAGAATGTTTTTGTGTTGGACTCGAAATGTCCTTCAAAGGAAACTTGTCCATGGAAGAGATAAAAATGTTTTCAAACACTTTTTTCTTCTCTTGTTTCTTTCTTTTCAGAACTCACCGTCGAGTTAGACTTGTGTTGAAGAACCCAAAAGTGGAGAAGGTGATTGTGGAGAACAACATGACCGTGCCAGAGAGGACGATTCGACATTTTCCTTCTTTGTAATGATTTCGTCTTCGTTTACTTCCTTGCTGCAGGCGGTTTCTAGTGGATGAACTTCTGAGAGCGTTCTTTCCGTCTGAACAAACATGGGATGAAATAACAATAAACTCAAAGTGGCGAAAATCAACACGGCTGCACTACTCAAGAAATGCCATAAAATTTTAAGGCTACTTGCTCGATTCGAACCTGCGACCGATACTAAGGCAGTGGACACCAATTGACAACACACGCACAAAATTAAACCAAACATTAAGGCAAACGTCACAAGAAAGGGATTACTGGTTCGAAAGGAAAACCACGAAGAGAACGACATGAAATAAGTGGAATTTTTGTGAATACCTTTCAAAATAAATGCTCCACTCATCAAGATGAGGGCAATGTTAAAAAGGAAGGAGCAACACAATACTGCAAAGCAAGAGTAGAGAATGACAGCCAAAGAGGATGAAGAAAGGATGGCAGTTTCGTTCAAAAGATGGCCAGCAGTTGCTGTCAAGATGGCCATCAAAGATAAAAAGGCAAAAATTCCCAACAGAACACTTGTGATTACCTTAATCTTGTGATAAATCTTTGAAGACAGAGATCCCAATAGATGTGCTGATCTCCAACTTTTGGATTTCAAAAGTGAAATTTCATATTAATATGAAAAAGGCATTCCAATGTCACTGATCAAGTGTAAATACTTACAACACCAATTGGACATGAAACAAAATGACAAACACAAAGATGTAATTAATGGTGGACAACAAGGTCGCCAATGCTCCCACCGCTTTCAAAGCAAAGAAATAGACAACCGAAAACAAGAATTGAGGATTCTCTTCTTTCCTTGCTCTTGCATCTATATTCCATGAATCAAACACAATTCTGACACATAAAGTGCCACATTGAATTCCGACAAAAATTGCGACCAAAATGAACAGAATTTTCGGATTTTCTTTCAATGTTGTTTTTCGTTTTGAAAGAATGATGAATAACATGATTCCAAAACAAACAAAAAAGATGGAATAACAGAATAAAAAGAAGAGACTATTGGCGAGAGAGAGACCATTGAGATAGGACGGAAAAAAGTAATCGATGGATGTCACATTGACAAAGTGGCCGTCGGGTGTAATGACACGTTCAGACATTATTTTTCTGTCTACAATTGTAGTCGATATCATGAGAGATGGATTTCAAAAGATTTAATTAGATTTCTGTCGAGACAAATTAATGAGAGATGAAATTCTGGTAATGGTCGTATCCAAAGGAGATGAATCTCAAACCCAAATACCCGCCAAAAAAAAACCGTTAAGATTTTCAAATTTTTTTCACAATAAAAAAATGTTGGCTTCCCACACAACGAATCCTCATCACTCCAACAAGGAAAACCTCATCCATTCGCATCATCATCATCAACAACAACACTCCTCCTCTTCCAACCACAACACACACATTTCCTCCTATTCTTCCTCTTCAAAAAGAAGCCAACCTCCTTCTTCCACATCTTCTTCATCATTAAAATCATCTTCCCACACCACCACGAGTTCAACAACCAATAACAGCTCCACCTCCTCCTCTACATCTACTACAACGACAAATAGTAAGCCCACCCTCGGATCCTATCTCCGAAGTACCAAACCCTATATTTTCGTCCCAACTTGGGATGAATTAAAACAAACCACTCCCAATAGCGCCTATTCTCAACTCGTAGATGTTTATACGAAATTAGAAGGCTCTCCTCATGCCATGTATTTGGATCAGAAGGTACAATTTATACGAGTTTGTATTCAGGTGATTGAGGATGGAATGATTCATTCCATGGTCCTTCCGATGATGAATCAAGGCTCAACTTCCACCTATGAGAAGGATCTCTATTTGATGTGGATGCTTCTCGCGGTTTCTCTTCTCACTTGTAATATGCCTCATATTGAGAATGAGATGCAAGATCATATCTCAAAACAATTTGAATACTTTTCATCGTGTAGTCATTCAATTAAGGAGGATGAAACGTATTACTTTTTATATGCTCAATACGAATGGTTTGTGAATGAGGATCATCAGGATCGTATGTTTAAGAGTCTTTCAAAGATTCAACAAGGACTGAAAAAGTTTGAGAAATCGGTCGTTTTGTTGCAAGTGAAGAATTCCATTTTGGATTCTGGAAGTTTTCCATTCCATTTGAGTTACAAGCCAACACCACTTCCATCAAGTAGTGTTTTGTCAACAACAAGCAAATCGTCACCTCCACAATCGACAGTCATGTCCTCTACTGCAACAACCGCTGCAAACATCAATACCACTTCACAAAACAAATCTTCAACTCCACCACCCACCGAAGGTCTTTTCTCGCGACCAGTAAGAAGACTTTCACCTCAACCACATGCTCTTTCTCAACAACAGCAAGGCTCCAACTTGGTCGCCTCTCAAGAACGACCTTTGCAACTGATTAGTGCAGCCAGACCCCCTTCTTCAAATTCTAGGACTAATCTTTTCACTTCTTCTTCGAGTTCTGTAAATACAGGAGTTAATTCATCATCATCATCATCATCGTCATTCATGAATAGCAATTCAGCCGTTTATGCAACCCCTTTGTCGAATTCAACAACTTCAGCGCAAACTTACCAGCAAACATCTTCATTCCTTAGTCCTCCTCCAATGACTATTGGAAGCATGCAACAGAGCTCCAATAACCAAAATTTGTCAACAACACCATTCAACAATTCTCAGCCATCTACAACCAATACTGCTTACATGGAAATGACAGCACTCAAACGGCCACGTGAAGATCTTCATGCTTCCAAAATACCAACATCTACCAATAACAATTTTGCAACTATCACACCTATCACATCATCCAAACAACAGGTTTCCTCCTCTTCGACAGTAACACCCACCTCAAAGAGTTCAACACCATCAAGTGAGGGAAGTGATTCTAAGAAACGAAAATTTACCATCATTGTGAAGATCAATAACCGAGAATATGGAGTTATGCGCAAAATTGGAGTTGGAGGAAGCTGCTCTGTTTACAAGTGCATTGACTTGGAAAAGAATGAGGAAGTTGCTATTAAGCACATTAAAATTGACAAAACGGATGACGCCAGCATTGTCAAGGGTTTTCTCGATGAAGCCAAATTATTGGAATCTCTCAGAGAAGATGATGTCAACAACAATATTATTCGACTGATTGACTATGAACATCGACCTCATAGAAGCCGCGATGAAATTCTACTCGTGATGGAATTGGGTAGTAATGACTTTAACACCATTTTGAAGAAGCACAACAAAGACAATCCATTCACAGTCGATGAATTAAAACAATACTGGAGACAAATGCTTGAAGCTGTGGCATTCATTCACTCTAAAAAGATTGTTCACACAGACATTAAGCCATCCAATTTTTTGCTTGTTAATGGCAAGTTAAAACTTATTGATTTTGGAATTGCCAAAGTGCCTGAACATGAGAATACTCAAAACATTTCTCGTAATACCATTGTGGGTACTCTCAATTTTCTTCCTCCAGAAAGTTTTAAGAATCACGTGGTGAATGATGGAACGACAAAATACAAATTTGGTCCACCAGGTGACATTTGGAGTCTCGGAATTATGCTCTACCAGACTATTTATCACAAAACACCTTACTCTGACATTCAAGATCACATCAAAAAGATTTCTCTCATCACCGACGAAAATTCTGAAATTTTCTTCCCACCTGTGGACGAGCAATATCAGGAAGCTGTTTCTCTTCTCAAATCCATACTCGTGAAAGATCCAAGTAAGCGACCGTCCATCCAAACCATTTTACAACATTCATTCTTTGGATCTCAAATGGAGCCAGTAACGATTTTACTTCGAGATGCAAACGAACAAACACACTTTGTAGACAATGTTCGTCAAGTTTTCCATTATTTACTTTCCAATTCTCAATCCCTTTCTTCACAAACTTCTCTTTATGCCTCCTATACCGCCAATGAGCTTTTAAGGCTTTGTTTTGAACGTTCTAAACAGCAACAACAACACGGTGACAAATTGTCAGAGGATGAAATTTTGAACTGTGTGAAAAACAAGCCTTAAACTTTTTTTTACATTTTCCATAATACCTGTTTTATTTATTAATGATGAGCAACAAGTGTGTATTCTCTTTACAAAGTTACGACACCCTCACTTGAACCTTGTTGGAACCACCACTTGAATGCACCATCTCTCTGATGTTATTCAACAATTTTTTTTCCCAAAACAAGTTTTTTGCCAAAATTCAGCGTCACACCCAAATCCATTATGTCATTAAACTCGAGTACTTGATGTTAAAACTCTTTTAAATCGATTTTCAGTGAAATTGTATTTTTACCATCTTTGCCCATTTACCATTTTAAGAGAGATTAATTTCACCTGGGCTGAGAGAATCAAGTCTCCAAGAGTCATCATTAAAATTGAGAGAACCATTTCATCCATACTCAACAAGATCAATTCATCCCTCTAAAAAAACAATCAACCTTAACACCTTTTCAATTTGTACATTCACAAAATGAGAGCCAAATATTGCATTCTGCTCACACTCTTAGCCCTTCTCGTCCTACTCTGTTGCATTCATTTCCATTCATCTCCATCAACCATGGTGTTGGCACAACAACGGCAGCAACACTACGGCGTATACAGTTGCACCATTCGATGTACTCAATATTGGGGTTGCTACTACAGAAACAGACGTTTCTTTTACAGAAGATTCCATGGTTGTTCCTATCCTTATGGATGTATGTGTCGAAGATGTAAGCTTCCAAGAAGATGCTACATGTAAACAACAAAACGACACGAGGCTTACAATGTTCACACCCATTGTAAAGAGACCATGTTGTTGAACATTGTAAAAAAATGGTTGTGTGAAAATTAATTGGTGTGTCCAATAAATCCCTAAAAATAATTTCAAAATCTTTTCCAAAGTGAGAAGTGTGGAACTATCCTTGTGCAAGTTAACTTATTGATCAACAGAGCTCTGATTCATGATGATGATGATGAAAATTCATCCATGGACTGAAAATGTGAAAAATTCAACAAGTATTCAAAGAGGAATTTTCATCACATCGTGAAGAAATTGCTGTAGAAGTCGATGGATTTGTTGTCATAACCATCATCGATGATGGAGTTTCCACAGAATTCTGTTTCAAAGCCATGTCGTGTTCTTCGTCTTTTTCATGTTCTTGATTGGAGACAATGTTTGTGGAATTGTTGGGTGTGAAATATTCATTTCCAAAAGTAATGTATTCATTCATGGATTGGAATTGTTGTGCATTCTCGATGAGTGTTTGACCAATTTCCGTGCTGACTTGCGTAGGTGGTTGTGGTGGTTGTGGCAAAATGAATGGTGGATGCATGACATTTGACAGTTCTTGTAGTTCCACTTCTTGTGAATCCTCAATGTCCAATTCCACTAATGGCACAGAAATTCCTGAAATAATACCAGATCCCACTTGAGGTATCATGATTTGGGGTGTCACAGGTGTTTGTTTTCTCACATCCACTCCATATTGCAATGCCGTTTCTTGAATTGGAATTCCATTTTGTAAACTATTGAATGGATTCGAACGAAAAGTTGAATTCACATTGGCATCCATCACATAGTGAGTACTTGAATCCAACGAATAACCATGCAATTTGTCCAATCGAACGAATGGATCGTTCGCGGATTTGTATGGCTGTCGACTCTCGTCATAGGTATTGACTGCACCACTCGATCGATTGGCCAAATGAGCAAGAGAGGACATGTCTCGTAAGTTTCGACTTTTACCTTCGACATCATAACGTTTGCTCATTCGATATCGATAATAAAAGTAAATGGAGGAAATAATTAGTGCGAGGAGAATTACGGAGCTAAGGACAACAGCTGTGACGACGATGGCAGCATCAATGCTTGATACGACCACACGTCGATTGTTGGGTTTGACTGAGAAACTAAATGGACACGTATTCTGTGGTAAATAGTTGCCGTTCGTGTCTGTGCAATTGACAGCTGTCACTTGTATGTATAAATCGGAAATGGTGTTTAAGGTAGAGGTCACTAAATAGGTCACTTTTGAATCCGTGATTGAAACAGTCATTGAAGTTTTCCATACATTCACGGAATTGGAATTCATGGCGTTGGACAAGGTGAAAACTGCATTAATTGTGACATTATTCAAAAATGGAATAGTTGTCAATGTATATGATGCCTTTGATCCCAAATCATTAATATCCAAATAAGTTGCAACACAAGAGTCACAAAAAAAGGTTTCTGTCATTCCCACTGGAAGGTTCACAAATTGAGAACCTGACAGAAATCTGTCATAAATTCTCGATGTGGTACTTAATTTAAATTCCGTAAATGTCAAATCATAGGAAACATCCAAAGGTCCTCTCTTTCTCAAAACATATCGATATTGTTGCAACAATGTATTTTCTGTAAATCTCAATTCAAGAATTGAAATTCTAGATCCAGAAATATATGAATTTCCAACAAAAGAAAATTGATCAAAATGAAATAAATCAAAATCTCCATCAAAATCTGAATCTTTAAAAATTCCAGAATTCAAATTCATCACTTGATTGTATTTATCAACATTTAGATAGGATAACGAGAAGGAAACATTGTTTAGAAAAGGTAAAGTGTCATATCGAATGCTCACTCGAAAAGTTCCAAATTGTGGAGCGAAGGAAAAATTTGGATAAAAAGATTGATTACTGGAGATTGTGAATTTGGGTTCTTCAACGAGAGATGATCGTCTGTTGAAGGTTAGTGACAATGGTTGTCTTTCATTGAGAGTCGTCGTCTTCGAATGAACAGAGTTTGACATTCGATGATGGGACATGCCAAATGTCATTTCAAAAGTGAGCATGAAAATCATCAGCATCAACCACCATCGTATCGTCTCGGAGAGTATCCTTTGACATGGTTGTTTTGGATAGTTGTTGTTGTTCGAATAGAGTTTGTGTGTTCTTGTTGTTGAATGAATGACAGTTACGTGCATCCTGTGAGAATGTCAAACAATTTTTTTCTTTAAAATTTTCAATAGACAAGAATGGCGGAGACAAACAATTTTTGGGTCACCCGAATCCTTGTTCTCCGTCGAATTCGATGATGGAGATTAAAAAAGGATGCGACAACAAGTGATATGCTCGATTGACCCCTCGCTTCTTTGAACGTCCCCTTTCGAACTACAATATGGATAAGGCACTTGCATTCAACAAGTGTTCTCACCCTTCATGAAAGGATGATGCATTCAGTTCAACATTGAAGAAAGGATGTGTATTGAAAGATGACATCGGAATAAGGTTAATTCCGGAGTCCACACTGATCTCGCACACGCTCACGTCATCGAAAAAAAATGTTTCTTCTCTTTTCCTTCTCTTCTTCCTTCTCTTCATCTTCCTCCTCCTATTCATTCCATCATCGATGGAGGCTTCAGATTCCTCTCATTGTTCTCCTTCTTGTTGTACTCATCACCATTAACCTCTTTTCAGGTTTCACGAATGTATTGAACAGTCCTCCTCATATCGTCGTCGTGAAAGCCTTCTCATCCTCCTCCGATTCATCCACTACAACCACCACCATCACCGCATCATCATCATCATTAAGGAGAACTTGGATCTTTACTCAGCCTCTCTTTTATGATCAGATGAAGCCTTTGATTGAAGAATTGATTGGATTTTCATCATCATCAGTTTCTCAAGGAAATTCATCTTGTTCCAATCATCCGTACACGATGATGGATGTTACCGTGTTGAGTCCGTACGAGGATGTCGTGGATTCGTTTCAACAATATTTACCAAGAAAAGGCTCTGTGGTTCCTTCTTCTTCTCAACAATTCTTTCGAGTGAAAAAATGTGGAAAAAGTATTAAGAAGGATCATTATTATGCGAGTATTGTGGAACATGGATTGAAGAAACAAACATTCTTTGAATATGCGGAATATATGAAGAGGGAATGGATGGATCCATATTTGACAAATTCAATGTTTGTGTGTGGACAAGAAGAGTTGGAGAAGGAGGATATTGTGTCACCTGATGTGGTTGTGACAGATTGTCATTCAATTGGTGCCATGGATTTTGCATTTGCATTTGAAAAACCTTTGGTGATTGTGTGTCCAACATTGGCTTCATTGTCACTCATTCAACCCACTTATTATCAGACTGGAAAGTTTTTGCAAACTCGATTTAACCCTTTCAATCAAATTTTGTTTTTGAAACTATTGAATGAGTTGAAAAAGAGAGGCGAAGCAACCAATGCTCAATGGGAAAAATCTCTCACCTATTCCTTGAAATACTTGATTGGAAATGCAGATTTTTCCAACTCAACAAATTATTACTTGCACATGAATAAGGAAAGTTGGATTGGAAAATCATTGAATTTTATCGCCAACTCTTTTTCACAAGCTCAGTTTGAAGCATTTTGGTTGATGGATAACATGATGAACAATGCAAGAAATCAATACTTGCCAGGAAGAGTCCACGACACCGTTAAACCACTCGATCTAGTGAAGCGTGGTCATGTTTTTTACACTTCAATTCCTGGTGTCACTGAAGACGACAACATCATGCTTCCTTCCAATGCAAAAGTAGTTCCACCAATCTTGTACACAAAACAAGTGAAGTGGATTGCTCTTCCAGAAAAACTTTTATCAGAGGTTAAAAAACTAGAGAAACATATTGAACACAAGAATGTACTTTTGGTGAATTTGAGAGATAGCTTTAAATTAATTCTAACATTCTTTAATATTTTAGAAAAGTTGGCTAAAAAGTATGACTATATAGTAGTAGTGAATAGAAACGAAGCCACAAAGAACTTGGAATCTAAATATCCAAATTTCATCTTCTCAGATCTCAAACTTGAAGAACGAAGTAGAATTTTGAAGAATCCATCCATCAAATTTGTGATCACAAGTGGAGATTTACAATCTTCTATTGAGACATTGGCTCACGAAAAACTATTGAGCTTGATTCCATCCACCATCGAAGGATACACTGTCTCACATTACTTGACTGAAAGTTTAAAGGTTGGAAACATTTTAATTCCAGCATTAGCCACTGAAGAAACCATTCAGAACTATCTCTCCAACTTCTTCATTCCTGGAAAATTAATTTCACAAACTGTGACGACTCGAGTCATTTCCAACAGATTTGTGACCGAGTCCAATCTTGCTGTCAAGACCATTGCAGAATATGTGCGTTCTTTGGCAAACACTCGAACACTTCCAATCGCACTGGAAAGCACCAATGAAACACTCATGATAGACTTGGCAGTATTGGCAATCTGCTTAATACTGACTTTCCTCATTGTCATATACCTGTTTTTCAAGTGGGTGATCATTCCTTATGTGAATTTGTGTCTTTACTGTTGTGGGTTTGGAGAACGAAACGTATCGATCGATCTCAGTGTAAGGACAGGAGAAGAAAAACAAAAGAAAGATTAATGAGAGTTGAATTCAACAAATGACCATCTTCACCACTCTATTCGCTCATCAACTCTTGTTCTAACAACATAAATCATCACCACAAAATATGTTTGGTAAAATTAGCTCTGTCCACAGAAAATTGACGGTAATGAAAATCCATGAACATCTTCATCATGTGACACTTGTCAACAACAAAAAAAATGCACACCCTTCATGTCTCCTTTCAGAACCTCTCTTTGAGTATCATCATCAACGACACGGAGACTCTCACTCTCTCCGAGTCCACTTCGATTCAATTCTCTGTTCTCGTTTCATCACAAGAACAATTTTTCTATCATTTCAAAGGAGAAGAAATTTCACAATTTTCATGTCAGTGTGATTTAAAGTAAGTAGGTGCATTGGATTTTATTCCAATTGGATTTAGTTGTTGTTGTTGTGAATACTACTATTATTATACTGCTATTTTATTTTAAACATGATGATGATGACGATACGTTTAACACCAAATAATATTATTTGATTCATACATTTATGGATATATAAATATTATTATCAAAATAATCCGACGAACATGTTGAAAATAATAATAGAATACAATCTCCATTGATGGATGTGATATTTGTGAAAATTCAACTTTCCGATCCATCCAATAAGAATGGAAATCAATATCAATTTCGAGGAGTTGTTTCCAATGATTTGAACTCTCTCGTACAGAAACAAACCGTCACAAGAACAATCCATCTTGAACCTGTTCAAGTCGATAAGGACACCATTCCATTATATTGTCGAATTGAAAATGTTCAAATCACTCCCATTGATTTTGGTTGGAATAAGGAATCGAATCAGAGTCGATTGGCCATGTTTTTACGTCAAACGGTGGATCAGGTGCAGAATTTCACGAAACAGAAAAGTGAAAAATCAATCCTAGGATTGACCATGAAAAGTATTTCAAGTTTTACAGATCATGTAGATGATGCACATGCTATGAATCCTACGAACAGTGGAAACACCATTAGTGACACTTCGCCATTGAGAAAACTTTTCAGAAGTACACACATCAAATATCCTAATTTGGAAATTCGAAAAAGCATTCAACGATTTTTCAAAGCATATTTATTATATCAAAATCAACAAGTGAAAGCTCAAAAGTTATTACCTTCTCAAACTTGTGACTTGAATATTATTGAGCTGAAGAATCATTCCTTGTACAAGTCTGAATTTGACAATTATTTCTTCTCACTGAGAATGCTCAATGAATTGAACAACATGCTCGAGTTCAAAAAAAAAGATTTATTTGAATTGTGGGTTAGAGCTCACACATTCTTTGCTTCCTCTTCCAATAATAGCAAGCCATTCATGTTTTCAAGCTCTCCTACGTGTCTATTTCGAAAAGAGAATCCTTCTTTGAAGAATGATTCAATCGAAGATCAAAACTATCTCAAATCAAAAATCATTGATCAATACTATTTAAGATATTACTCAAGAAACGATGACGTTCAAAAATTTATTCACAACATTGTCTATTTGTGGAAATGTATGTTCAACACAATTGTGGAGTCTCCTCGAGGAAAAACTGTTGAAGAATTGCTCCATGCTGAAAATAAGGAAATTGAAACGTTCATTTATTATCTAGATCGAATCTACGAAAACATATCGAGTGTATTTGAGAAAAATCATCTTTACATGAGATTAACAAAGGTCGTGAATAAGATTAATTTTGTCAATGAAAACAGCTTGGAATTATTTCTTCAGAATAATTCCACAGATTATGAATTTTTGAGATATCCAGATTTGAACGTGGTCACAAGCATTAGAATTTTGAAATTTTTGGATATGGTCAATCGAAAAACGCTTGAAATTATTTCACATCTCATCAAGAACGATGAATTAGAACCTCTAGAGCTAAAAATTGTGAATGCATTGTTGAATTCACATTCTTTCATGAAGTTGAAAGAAGTACTTGAACAAACCAATCACTATGAATCGAAAATAGTTTCAGATCCATATTTTGACAGAATTTTCGAAGTGTCTCCTTCTCTCTTTGAGCCATTTATGCTACCTATGAAAACACTCATGTCCATCATTGATCAAACTTTAATTGTTTTCAATTATGGAATTAACTCCATTGTCACATCAAACTTTGTAGTGAAGAAATCCAGCTATATCACTGACGAATTATTGGAACTCAAACTATTCATCAAGAAGGATGACGAAAAATCAGGCTTTCATTTTCATAATATTCGTTACTCGGATTATTTAGCGTACATTTTTCACAAACAACACAATCGATTGTACAATATTCTAGTGAAAGCAGTGGCCGATCTTTCCAAACAATTTGAGTGGACACGAGCATCTGCATGGATTGACTCGATCATGGAACGTAATTATCCACAATTTTTTGCTGCTACCAAAAAAAGATTTGGATTCAAAGATTCCAATTTCACAACATTTATTTTCAAGATTATTGTGAAACTTCAAGAATCTGCGAGCAATAAGCAAAGACAAAAACAAATTGATCATTTATTGTCGATCATTCCTTCTGAACTTCCATGGGACGTCAAACAATTGCCAGAAAAACGAGTCGTGAAAGATAGGAGCATTCCTCCATTCGATGTGGAGGAGGAAGAATTATCCACACCACATCGCAGATGGAAGACTTTAAATTCCAAAGTACCTCCTGCTCCACAACTTTCACAAATTATTTCCATCACAACCAAAGACACTACTCCAAAACGTAAACTCGCAGGAATTATTCAAGTTTTCGACGCTGATCATGAATTATTGAAAGATTACAGAAATAGAACCATGGATACTCAAGTCATTGACAAAGTTTCATTATATTATTTATTTATCACTTCGAGCATTTGTTTGGATACATCAACCTATCTCACTGAAACATTTAAGCTCTGTAAAAGATTTTCACAGTCAAGTCAGAATAATGTTTTGAGAACGACCATTCCAAAAGTTACAAATAGAACTGTATCCATTTTACAATCATCTTACAATTCAACAAAGGATAACCAATCCACCATTGATTCAATAACCACAACAACTTCCACAATACCTCCTCCTCCTCCTCTTTCACCTAACTCTGGAAAACCTTTTGCAACAACAACAGCAGATGCAAAATATTCGCCTCCCCAACCTCCTCCAAAACCAAAAAAATTGGAATTCTCAAAAGAATTCTACGAAAAGTTGGCCGAAGTGAAAAAGATTAATACCACCTCCACATGGTCTCTGAGACAACTTCTTGATTTGGACGATGATGTGGAAATTAGTTCTGATGGATTGATTGAGGATTTATTGGATAAGGTGATTCCTTTATATACACTTCTCAAATTTCACAATATTGATTTGAATGCATTGATTCAAACGGATAATAGTTATAACACGATCAATCAGGCAATATTGAATCAAAGATATTCAGTCGTGAAAGAAGTATTACCTTCCAACGTTGTGAAAACTATTTGCTTATTTCTATTTCCCACTAATTTACTTTATGTGAGTTTAGTATCCAAACAATTCTTTCAAGAAGCTCACAAAATATTCTTTCCAAAAAGCGTCAACAATGTATTATGTGCTTGGGAAAGATATCCTGCATTGACCTATTTGAAAGTGACAGGAATTGTTCGAAAAAAGAGACATCAATTAGCACAACTGAAAGATTATGTGAGCAACTTTCTCTACATGATTACTCTTGAAAATTTGGAAAAGAAATTGGACATGCTTGGCTTTCATCATGCAAAAGAAGATTTGTTGACATTCTTTTCACTCAAGAAAGATGTGTTAGCTTTAAGGTTAACACAACTTTATCAAGATGAAAAACAGTTCATTTTCTCACGTTTTTTCAGCTGGTTTTTCAGACTTTCTGATTCTTTGAATTATGACATTCCAAAATTGGCAAGATTCAAACACGAACGAGAGATTTTTAAGAGAATTTGTGCTTCCTACTTGTTTTTATCTCTCTCTTCAAGTAAGAACGACACATTGCCAAATGTTGGCTCTCATCCTCTAGTATTAATTAGAAATATGATCAAAACAGTTTCCATCGCTTATCCAAACGTGAACATTTTGATGTTACTCGCTGACTTTTTTGACATTTCAGAAGCAAATGTTGCACAATTATTTCAATACAGAAGAGAATGGAAAATGATTTCAGAAATTGGTCTAAAATTTAAAGAATACAGCATTGATTTGGAAAACTTTTTCACAAAGAATGCAAATGTGTTAAACACATACTATAATCCAAACGAGTTTATCAAACAAGCAAAAGACATTTTGAAAAAAGCATATGAAAGTTTGGACAATAGCGACTTGGTCGACATTGAATGTTTACTCACAAAATATTGCATGAAATGCAAAGATTATTATCAATATTATTTATTATTGAATGGTCATGAATCAAAATTAAGTTTAGAACAAGCCATGTTTATGGCTATTTCTCTCAATCAATTTGAAGAACTTGAACAAATTATTGAAAAAGGAGCCAATATTAATGCTGTCACAAAACATGGATTTGACATTTGCACCGCAAGTCTTCCTTGTAGAAATCAAGAAATTACCAAATATTGTCAACACATTCGAATTGAATATTTACTTTTAAAACAACCTTCAAAACTTGAAGATTTTCCATTCAACATTTCACTCTTGATGCATACCATTCGTGAAAACAATATTCAAGCTGTGAATTTAATGATCCAATTGAATCCAGAAATTCTCTATGAATACGATGGAAAGTACAGACCGATCGATTTCAGTATTGTTCATCATTCACATGTTGTGGAAAGCACTGAAATTCTTCTTCGTCACATGCTCACTCAAGATAAGGAACATAACGTTCTTGTTCTTTCCAAAACATGTTTCATTGCAATCGATCACGATCGATACGACGCTCTCAAATTATTAATTGAAAAAGAACCATATTTAGTGTTAAGAAATGAGCTTTTCGATTTTAGATATCCAGAAGCATATTATTCCAATCCATCTTTATTATTGTATTGCTTGAGAAAACGCAAAACTCAATGTGTGCAATTATTAATTGAAAAATTCCCACAACTTCTCAATTTCAAACTCTCTTCCATGTATACCGAAAAAACAACCAATCTGATCGGAGCAAAAAACAACACACCAAAAAGCAAAACCTCTTTAGGAAATTTAATTTTAAATGGAACTCCTTTAACGTTTGCTGTAGAGACCAACCAAATGAAAATGGCACTCATGCTTGTGGAAATGGGAGCTGATCTTTCAGTGACCAAAAATGGAATGGATCTTGCCGAGTTGTCAGAATCGACTGAAAATTCAGAAATGATGCAATGGGCTCGTAAAATTTTAAACAAATCCACACAATACGATTGTTACAAATTTGAGGTCGAATATGTGGACAATATGTTGAATTTGTATCGAAAACGATTCAAAATGGTGGTCAATCCAAATGAAAGTGTTGAAGATTTTGTGAGAAAGGCAAAAATTCGATGTGGAATTCGTGGCCAATATGAATTGCAATTTTATGATCCAGATTTTAAGGAACTTGTGGATGTTATTGATCTAAAAGATATGCAACTGGATGAAGAAGAGTTAAATTTAATTAAATTGAAACGAGTGAGAGCAAATGATGCACCTAGTGCTCAAAATCATGGTCAAGTGAAAAACATGAAATATGAACAATATTTAGGAATGATCTTTCAGGAAAAGTATAAAATTGTGAAAACGATCGATGAAGGTGGATTTGGAGTAGTTTTTGAAGCGGAAGTTCTGTTAGGAGATGTGAATATTGTCGTCGAATCACCATCCACAGGACCAACAACAACATCCACTCATGAAACGAATCGTGTGAAAAATGTGGCATTGAAAATGGTGAATTGTCCAAAAGGAAGTGTTCAAAAACAAATTCAAGATGCAGAACATGAAGCATTGCTTGTACAGCAGTTACAACATCCAACTATTGTCAAAATTATTGACACTTTTCAAATTGATACTCAATACTCTTCGATTTTTTGCATTGTGATGGAATTGTATATATTTGGAGATGTCATGCAACTTATTAACACACAACGTCAAAAGTCAGAACCCATTCCATTGGAAATTGTGTGGAAAATTTTAACGCAAATGGCTTCAGCGATTGATTATATTCATTCTCATAACATTATGCATCGAGACATCAAACCACATAATATTTTTGTAAAATATTACAATAAGGAAGAAAAGAATATTGACATTGTGTTGGGAGATTTTGGAATTGCAAAAGAAAATGCTCACACCACTCGACAGACATATGCAGGATCATTGTGTTATATTTCAGTGGAGATTTTATTGAATCAACCTTATGGATTTGCGACGGACATGTATTCTTTGGGTGTGACATTGTTTCAATTGTTGTCACTTGATACTTCTCTTTCAATTTGTTCACTCTTGATTCATTCAGAAGATAATTGGTGAGTATTTATATTTTACAACATTTTTAATGGTCGAATATATGAACACCATTTTACATTGATTGAACGGTATATTTGAATTGTATACATCATGTATTGAAATGTTAACAAAGTTTGCAAGAATTGAAAAAGAAAATTCTCACCAACTATCAAGATCATCTCGATCACAATAAGGGTCTCTTGCAAAAATTAATTCGAGTCATGAGTCAATTGTTGAGATTTCAGCCACAATCAAGATTGAACAGTTCACAATTATTATTAGAACTGGAAAAGAGATGAGCAAAGAATAAATGGAAAACACATGAAACTTTGCAGCTGAAACTGAATACCATGATCAACAATTTCGGATCTTTGTGAACTAGTGATATTCTGGATTCATTTTGAACCTCTAACAATGGTTCATTCAACAAGTTCGATTCAGGAAATCATAATATTCAAATGCAAGTCTCTCGCTTCGTCAAACACAACATAATTGGCATCGTCCTTGAATAAGAATTTATTGGGATGAAACATTAATGAATGGCATCCCTTGCTTTGATTCATCATTGATACGTCAAGTTTTGAACAACGATTTAAAATGACCTAAAAAGTTTTCAAAAATGTCATCCATCATAATTCGCAAATTAGTAAACCATTTTTCATCTTTCAAAACGTTTTACAAATAAATCCTAACGAAATTCTTTCTTTCATGAAATTTCAAATGATACTCAAAAAAATAATGGCCAAAGGAAGCAACAACACCAATAACAACGAAAAGGAAGCTTTACCTTCCACTCCTATCACAAGTAACACCACCACAACAACCATGTCATCAACAACAAGCACTTCATCGGCTCCAGCCATCTCCGTCACAAAACCACAACAACAACAACTTCCTCAACCGGCTTCACATTCCAGTTTCTCTCTGAAAGACACTTTGAAAACTGTTGGAGTTTCTGTCGGTGTTTCCTTATTGATGGTCACCTTGTATCACCACTTTTTCATGAGCAAAACGGTGGAGGATGTGGAAAATGTGAGGAGTTATATTGCAAAAATTAAAATTCCGTTGAATACCATCTTGGAAAAGACCAAAGCAATTGGAGTGTCATCCTTGTTTCAGAAAAAGTAATAGATCTGAGAGAATTGCTTAACATTCATGAATAGCAAAACCTCTCTTCGAGGTTTTTTGTGTTCTATGTTTTGTAAATTTGTTTGATCCAATGTAAATGTAAATAAAACATATTGTTATTCATTCTCATGTTTGGTTCTTGTCTCAATGTTGAATGGTTCGATGAGAGAGATCAATCAAAAGGAGATTGTCACATTCTTCACCATAACAATGATACATTCGAATCAAATACAATTCATCGGTATACTCTGAAACATATCCATTTTGTTTCACTGCCTCAATGATGAGCTCCCATTTTTCTTCCTGAGAAATGGAACGTAAGGTTGCAAACTTTAAGGCCTGTCCATGACGTCGCACTGCCTTCAAAATAAATTCTTTGTCACGTTTCAAATCTTCGGAGAGCCAACGCATAGCAGCAGGTGTGATTTGAATAATGCCCAATACAAAGTTTAAATCTTTCTGAAATTCAGTGAAATCTTGTGATGTAAAATTCCTAATCACTAGATAGTTTTGTCGAATCGCTGTCAAAATAAATTCCTTATTGTTTCTTAATGTTGGAGAAATATATTGAAACACATCCGCGTCTTTTTTCACACATTCCAATGCAACCTCTTGATACAACTCGAAATTATTTTCCATGAGAGATGTTTGCGTAGAAATGAAAGAGAGAGAATTAGCATCTCGTCGAGCTGCTGTCAGTAACACGTCTCGATCACTGTGAAACTTTGGAGATACCAATTCTAAAGTACATCCGTGTTGAATGGCTTGCAATGTAATTTCCTTGTCATTATAAAATGTGCCTTCTTTAGGGACAAAATAAATGGCTCGACCATCATTTCTCACTGCCTCCAAAACAATTTCTCTGTCGTGATATTTTAACTCTTCGTCAGTCCATGCCAATGCAGATCCATTTTGCTTCACAATTTGAAGAATAAATTCACGGTTGCTCTTGTACTCTTTTGGCAAATATTTTAAAGCAGAAATGGAATATTGGGAAGCTTGTAGCACAAAATTCATGTCATTCTTCAATTCTTGGGGTATATCGTGAAATATCTCACTATAGGTCTTGAGTGCCTCCAAAATAATTTCCTTGTCACTTAAGAATTGTTTTGATGCCATCACTAATGCACGACCGTTTTTCCTGACTGCTTCCATAACAATTTCTCTATTGCATTTCAGTTCACTGGAAGCATAGAATAGTGTTTTGGCGTCCTTCTTTACTGCTTCCAAAATAATTTCATAATCGGAATAGTATTTCTCATGAGTAAACTTGAGTGCTTCAGCATTTTGCTGAACTGCTCGCAAAACAACATCTCTATCGTTTTTCAATTCCTTTGAGGCATATTGTAATGCAGCTCCATGTCGAGAGACTGCTTCCATCACAAACTGTTTATCTTTTTTCAATTCATGAGTTGCGAATTCTAAGGCATGACCAGAATGTTTAACGGCTTCCAGTAAGAATTCACGATCAAATACTTTGCAATTCGCACAATGCAAAACTTCTTCGTCGCTGTATGGCAGTACCTCTAACAGAAAGGTCCTATCGTTCTTCAATTCACGAGATGCATAGTATATTCCTTGTCCATGCTTTTTAACATACTCCAGAATGAAAAGTTTATCATTCATAAATTCAATGGGAAAAAAGTGCCAATCACGAATTGGTGTGATCAATTGTGTTTCTCGATGTTCAAGCCACTTCTTCTTTCCAAATTGTTGTGTTTCAAATTTTCTTTTTAATAACCGCATGAACCTGAGAGTGTCCAATTGGTTGTGGTCGGAATGATGAATTCGGGTGTGAGGAGAGTCATCATTTGCTTCAATAGTAAATTCATTGAAATCAATCATCCATATCATGACACAATTTTCAGTGGCATCATTTCGGTGCTCAGAGCAAGGTGATCGGGTGGATGATATCATGTCGTAGCTACGTAGGATGAGGTTGTTGTTCCGATCCTTTTTTCAGTATTTTTCTTTAGAATGTTCATATGGATATTTTCAAATCGATCTCCTTAAGGTAGATGAAGATGGTCCAATGTTTTCATTCCTTATCGGACCTCATGAAAGCCTTGGAACCTTTCAAAGTTTTGTTTGTCCACTCCATCATTGAGGTCATTTAATGAACCAGGATGGACCGCTCCAGGACTATTTTTGAACTTTCCAGTCCATTAGTCAGCTACTCGAACGTCGAGCTCTTCAATGATATATCAAAAAAGAGAATATCGATTAATCTCATCAGAACTCTTCCGAATTTGCGTTCATCCCTCAAATCACAATTAATCAATTGATTAATTTTCGCAACGCTGAAA